TTGACCTATAAGCAATAGGGACTAGGGAGCTCTTGAAGCGATTCTGAATCTGACGTTGTATTTGTTGATGTTGCTGACACCAACTTCCCTGACATAATAGCTAAAAAAAAGCATACTCAGCATCGCCAAAAGTGGGGGGGGGTCGACCCCCCGGTTCTGACGAGTGGGGGGTCGCGACCCCCCCCCCCCCGACCCCCCGTCGGCGACGCCCCTGCACCCACCCTAACGCATAGGAGCAATATCATATCACATGTTTGAACGCTTGAAATCACGAAAAGAGTGCAAACGCGCGGCTAAGAGGAGACGACATACGCCGAATCGCGATTCCGGCCAAACATGGTCTCGAAAAGTAGGTCACAGGTCAAGGGTCATTTGCGTCAGGGTCATGAAATTGTTAGGGTAGGTGTAAAATTGATAAACGCGAGGGTAATGAAAGTTCCGTCGCGATCAGCGGGGTTTTACCTACGCGAGTTATTATCGAAAACCGAGAGGGGGCTGTTCGACCCCCCCCCCCTTATACCGGCGAGGGCTAAGGGGGAGGGGCGTTTCTCACGGTTCTTCCTATCTAAGATCATTGTTAAGATCTGAAATGAGAAATCATAAAACATGGCTCACAGCAGGGCTGAAGCGTGAAATACGCAAGCATGGCTACTCAAGCTTGATCAGCTCAACGATTAAAAAAAAAGCAGTTCAGGCTCTCCGCCGATGATGACAGCCTGGTCGGGTAATTCGCTTCCCGCGACAGGGTCCGTCTGCTTTGTGCGGTGCGGCACGGCGCGGTGGGGGGGGGGGGGGGGGGGAAGGCGGCGATGCGTCTGAAAGGCGACGCTCGGACGTCCCGGGAATCACCTGTCACCATGCGGCGCGGCGGTCGGTCCCTCCGACCCTTCCCATTGTTACCTGACTGCGGGTGCCGGTTCCCCCGGAAGGGTCACTTTGGTATGCGAAATCTTCACTCGTTAATCGGACAGGAGGGGAGCAGTAGACATTCGATGGAGTAGGCGATTCGGGCGTAGGTCAGCCGGGCGTAGGTCAGCCGGGCGTAGACATTCGATGGAGTAGGCGATTCGGGCGTAGGTCAGCCGGGCGTAGGTCAGCCGGGCGTAGACATTCGATGGAGTAGGCGATTCGGGCGTAGGTCAGCCGGGCGTAGGTCAGCCGGGCGTAGACATTCGATGGAGTAGGCGATTCGGGCGTAGGTTAGCCGGGCGTAGGTCAGCCGGGCGTAGACATTCGATGGAGTAGGCGATTCGGGCGTAGGTCAGCCGGGCGTAGGTCACCCGGGCGTAGACATTCGATGGAGTAGGCGATTCGGGCGTAGGTCAGCCGGGCGTCCCAGCCAATAATTAACTTGGGCTGGGGTTGGGCTGGGGGGATTTCACTTGGGCTAAGCCCGAGTTAGCCCAACATTTGTTTCTTTGCAGTGTGATTTGGGTTGGGCTGAGCCCAAGCTAAATACGCGACTCGGGCAAAGTTTGGGCTGGCCCATGGAGAATCCGAAACTTGGGCCCGAGTCGGACAGCATCTGGGCATGCCACAACCTAATCCGGACTGTAGCTCGGACTGAATTCGGGCACGCCCAAGTAGGATCCCTTATTCGGGCTGAGCCCGGATCTTGCATGGGCACTGGGCGAAACCCCCGCATCAGCGACGCCGTGCCTTTGGAGGTGCCTAGAGGCATGAGTGGAACGCCACCCGGGCGTGATTCAAACTGGCAACGTGGAATCGACCAGTTTTAGCTAAGGCTGGGAATTTTTGGAGAATGTATAATAATCCGTAACATTGACATTTACTGGATTATCATCCACGTTCCATTCCTTCGCCCCGTTTTCTTCAGCGGCCGGATTTTTCGCTCTGCCTGGATATTTATATTTATATTATTTTTTTTACTTTTGTTTTCTTTTTAAATGTATTTTTCATTATTTATTTCTCGCATTTAATTTGCATCAAAATTTGCCGTTGTTCCAAAGTAAAATCATAAATGATATCAATTTTTGATAGTTGAAATGTTTTAACAACTAGAATCATCTAGTTCCTACCATTAAGTTAAAGGGACCCTCCCACCTTCAAAAAAGTTGATGAATTGGCATAAAAGTGATGTAGCGTGAATCACAAAGAGCGAAAATGAACATCTACCAAATTTTACCGGAAAATATTCACCCGTTTTCGAGATATAAGACTTTTATTTTTGTTTACTTTTTGGGAAATCCGCTGTTTCTATGACGTCACATAAAGGTTTTCTTTACGTCGGCATTTGGAAGCAATAGTTTGGTATCAAAGTGCGACAAATATTGCGCGAATGATGCGTTTATCTTATCAAGGTCAATATATGATGGCCAAGCCAATAAAGGTTCCAGGACAATTCTTATGGCATTTCTTCGTATCGCAATTCTTCGTCTGCAAATCTTCGTCAGGGCATTTATTCGTACCTATCGCATTACTTTGTCTCGCACCAGGGTATATGAAAATCGGCTCGCATTTCTTCTTCAACGCAAATATATGCAAGAGTAAGCATTGAGGGACAAATAAATGCACCGACGAAGATTTGTAGACGAAGAAATGCGGACGAAAAATTGTGCTACGAAGAAATGTCATGCGAGGATTCGTTCGGGTACCATGACATTTATGTGATTTCAAAGTCAAGGTTTACAGCTGATCTGCTAAATCAAGCCAAGAATCCAAACTATCAAAAAACTATAAATATTTGTTTGTCTGTCACAGAGGTCTCAAGCAATATAAGGTTGACATATGTTGAATCAAAAATCTACTGCCACAACTCACATCTCCTGCCTTAGTTTATCATTGTTGTTTTAACTTGCTTTCAAGAGAAACAGAAGTCAGTATCTGATATCACTTCAGATGATTGTTTCAAGATCTGAGTTCAAATGGAAATAAAAGCAAGATCAAGATGAAACAGGGATTATTGCTGTTAAAGTAGTTTGGCCATGATACAACAAGCACATAAATCATTAGCCAAATCAAATACTGGTTGGTTTGTCAAGATGTTTGTTGTCTGTCGTCTGTCGAGCTGCTATGAACACTGAACGCTCTCACTCTTACTTTAAAGAGAGTAGTTTAAGTTGAATGGTAGTGAGCTGTAATTAGACAGAGCAGCTATTCAGTGCTCACATCAAGCCAGGCTAGGAAATGGCATCAACTGTGGTGGGAGGAAGCAGGTTCGGCAGCCCTATGTTGTAAACTTCTGTTATGTCTTGTGTTTGATCAACTGATGTTTTCTGCTCTGTTTTGTGCAGTGATAGTAGCAGGTAACTGCATGCTTGTCAAATTATGTGAATAAACGAATTCATAACATTGCATTTTTCTCTCCATGCAAGGAACAAGTAAGATGTTGTAGAAAATGTAATAGAGGGCTGCATTGCTGATTTTGCACTTTATCAGAGCTTTATTTAGAATTGCTTTCCTGAAAGCTACACACAGGCCACAGTGCTGAAATTCACAATGTCATAGCTTTTGGCGGAAAAAAAGAAAAGACTTACCTAGGTAAAATTGGCTGAAAGTATGGCAGAGCAGGTCTTGATGCGTATGCCCATCCGTGTGCTTGCCGAAGCCGAACTGACTGCAACACATTTAACTGACCACCATGGTGGCTGGCATATCCTGAACTTTCACCACTCTAAACAAGACAACTTTCAGCCCTCAGCATTGTATTAAAACACTGTACAAAACACTCAAAATTTGTTTCAGTGCCATCCACGGACAACATCAGTCGCCATTCACCAGGCCAGTAAAAACAGAATAGATAATAGCTTCAAACCCATGCAGTCAGAGGAGAGTTACTAGGTCTGCACCTCAAAACAAAATCCAGGTGACATTCACCACGCCAGTAAAAAACAGGTACTTAGGTAACGTAACAGCTTCAAATCTGGTAACATGTTGGTCGGACTTTACACTACCATATTTACATGGAATAATATGATACCAAACAATAGTGCAACCATTCTGGACAACAAAAGTGTATGATAAAATTAATTTAGAATACTCTGGCAGCATGATTTACGAGCACAGGCAGGTGTTACCTACCAGCCTTCTCAATGCTCGTAAAACCAACATTGTAGTTTTGATTTTACCTTACATGATAACACACTTGGCTGCAATGGCACATTTAATTTAATACTGTGAAAAGACCAGTTATAACCACTTCACAAGCACAATTGCACCTCATGCCGACATCCTTTTCCAAAGACAGTCAGCAGCGTCTTTCGTCAAAACTGGAAGATAAATCCCCTTTCAACTGTTAACATCAAAAATATTTCTTCATGGTGTGACTGTGATCTCCATATGGAAACCTTGCAGGAAAAGAATTAATGTCAATTGTCAGCTCTTCAAATTTCTTTGGACTTTAACTTGCAGTACCATATCCAGTTTGCTTTGATATTTTGTTTTTTATTCCATGTTGAAGTTGAACACCAAGCTCCAGATATAGCAGGCAGCTTGATCATCTTCGGCCTTGGTATAATATCAGTCCAAGTTCCAGTGGTGGGTATCTTCTAATATTCAAATTAAAATGAAAAGCAATAGGCTTTCTCAGCGCCGACGACGGATTTCACGTTGATAAAAAAGGGAGCTCAAGGTCAGCAAAACTCGGGTTCAAGGAATGGCGGGCGTTGAAATGACTGCTGACGTCATCAAAAAACCGCTAATGGTTAAGAGATAGGGACTAAGCTGGTCCCACCCTGCAAGTAAAGGGAAGAAATTTCTTGAACACCATAAAGCTGCGGGAGTTGCGACCAGGATAAATGGTGGTTTCTGAGCCTGGCCGCAAACTTGGCTATCTCAACTCAAAACTAATGTTAAGGTGGGATGGTCCCTTTAAGAATAATTTCCCCAGTTTTACATGTTGTTTTTATCATAATTATTTTTTTTTTGTATGAAAATATTTTGTTAGATCTTTCTGTCAAATGCCATGTTTAAATTCATGTTATCAAATAAAAAGTGGTTTTATTTGCTAGTTCATTTTCGCTGTCCGGCGGAAGTCTGTTGGGCGCATGCGTCGGGCGCCGCCATTTTACGCCGATCCTGGAGCCGCCATATTCGTCCACTGCGTTTGTTGGCGTCTGCGGGGGTGCATCTGTCCGTTGCTCCGATTGTTCCCGTCGTTCGGCGTTTTGGGTGCGCTTCCCCATGCGGTTGCCGCGCACTAACTGGATCTGCATTCCGTGTTAAGGTGAGAATAATTCCATACCTTTTACGTGGAGACAAGACACTAACTCTTGTCTCCAAGAGTTTAGTGTTTTAGTTCATGTCTTGTTAAAGTTCATGCTAATGAGTTAAAGGAAATAGTTCACTTTTTAACATGGGTTTTGAACTGGAATAGCAGTTCCGTAGCTTGGGCTGAGACGAGCATAAATCAGGAGCTTTTACAGCCCAACGATCACCCTAGGCAAAGATATTCTATTTCTCGTCCCGAAAAAGGTGTCTTGCGTTGAGGATGTGTGCCTTGCATATATTTCCATCCAGTATGAAAAGAGCATGGGTCCCGAAAATTCTTCAGAAACTAGAGAAATTATCTACGAGAACTCTAGAGAAATTCTCGTACTGATCAATTAGGACATTCAGGGGAACATCAACATTATCAGATCGAGCAGATCGCCCAAATGCCGGTGGCTGCGCTAATTTCTCTGTTTCTGAAGAATTTTCGGGACCCATGCTCTTTTCATACTGGATCGCGTGTGCCTTACAGAAACTGAAAAGTTCTTCCTATATCAAAATATAGAAAAAAAATCTTTTGTTATAAAAAGATTTTATTTTCTTTGCTGATTATTTTGAACATAAAAAATCATAAATCGTTGCAAAAAAAAAAATAATTTCGTGAAAGTGAACTATTTCCTTTAATAGAGAATTGATATTAAAGGAAACCTACCAATTCCCTCAATTTAGTTTTTGCCACAGTTTCATGATTTTTATGCATATTTTATAAGAAAAGAAAATGAATAGCCGTTGGGGAAACAGGACGCCAAACTAAAATTTGATCAGCCAATCTACGGCTGGAGTGGGCAGGGCGAAGACAATATAATTGTACTTTGACGTAATAATAGCAACTAATGGATGGTTACGTAACAAAAACTTAACTTTACCTTTTTCTTAATTATTTTATCCATACATAACTTGCTTTGTTAATAAAACATAAATAACTAATGAAAATCAAAGGAAAAATTAATAATTACATCACTTGGATTCATATTGTGCGCCACCAAGTGCGCCAACAACTGTCATATCACACAATCTCGCAGATTCTGCAATAAAGTTTGTAGCTCTCACGGTACGGAACATCCTGACCGTCCTGACTATCCGGCATTTCCTTACTGAACGTCAGGGATTTCCCTGACTGAATCTGTGTGACCCCAGTGTAGCCGACCCTGTGTATTTCCTATCAGCTGAACTTCATCTGCGTACTGATTTTCTGCAAAACCCGCAAACTCGCAGATCACACACATAATTTCCTGGACGATCACGCATAGTGTAGATTGGCCTTAAAAGGCAAAATTTTAATAAAAGTTTTAATGTACTTTACAGATGGACCATGTTAGTCGCAGCACTGAATACAGGTATAGGAAGCGAATACTTACCCATTATTGCACTGAAGAAACCGTATCTGGCTCTGACGACAGACAGCCTCTAGACTCTCCTGTTTCTGGACATTTGAGGCAGCAAGATGAAACAGATCAGCAGGACTCAGTTGTGCCGAGTGCAGTTAATGATGGATTGAATATGGATATGAATCAAATGGATGTGGATGAAGTATACTGGGATTGTGATCAGGACTCCTTCTGCTGGGAATCTGGTTCAGAAGATGGTCAGATATCTGACAGTGACACAGATACACCTCAAGATTACACAGAGGATGATGGCAGTGACAACATGGAAAACAACACACTGCAATTCAAGCTTGCTGAGTGGGCAGTAAGCTATGGCATATCATCTGCAGCAGTTATGGCATTGCTGGCTATTCTTAGTGTGCACACGTCATTGTCACTTCCTAGGCATCCTATGACTTTGCTTAGAACACCCCGCCTGTCCAAAATCACGCCAATGGGAGATGGTGACTACCACTACTTTGGCCTGAAAAGTGTTATCATTGATCTGTTCAAGAAACTTCCCAGTCCTCCATCTGCCCAAAAACTGAGACTGCAGATAAATATAGATGGCATACCCCTGTTCAAAAGCTCAGCAATGGCCTTGTGGCCAATTTTGGGAATGATAAGAAACGTCACATGTGAGGTTTTCCCCATCGCTCTTTTTTGTGGTAAAGGAAAACCACCTCTGGAGCCATATCTGAAGGACTTTGTCAATGAGTGTAAATCATTGTGTCAAGAAGGCTTTGTTTTCATGGGACGCAGCTATGATTTGGTGCTTGACAGCTTGGTCAGTGATGCACCTGCACGAGCTTTTTTGAAGTGCATAAAGGGTCATTCAGGATATTATGCCTGTGAAAGGTGTGAGCAAAAAGGTCAATCTCATCCTTCTGGTCGACTGATATTACCTGAGATGGATGCCACAGAAAGATGTCACCAATCATTCGCTTCAAAGCGGAATTACCTTCATCATCACAAGGACAAAGTTTCACCTTTTCTCTCATTGCCCCTCGATCTGGTCAAGGGTGTGCCACTTGATTACATGCATCTCTGTTGTCTTGGTGTCATGAGGATGATGGTGCGGCTCTGGCTTGCTGGACCTCTGATTATTCGCCTACCAGCAACAGCTGTTGAAAGCATATCTGAAAGGTTGTGTCGTCTTCGCTCCTGCATTCCTAGGGAGTTTGCTAGAAGACCGAGGAGTCTGTCTGAGTTTCGGATGTGGAAAGCCACAGAGTTCCGGCAATTTTTGCTCTACACAGGCATGTTTGCATTGAGAGGAGCTGTTCCTCTTGAGATGTATGAACTTTTTCTGCTGTATTCCAGTGCCATGAGCATTCTGCTCTCTCCAAAGCTGGCCAGGGAACATGCTGGATATGCGAGGGATCTTCTTTCAACATTCGTGAGAAACTTTAGCAAGCTTTTTGGCCCACAGTTTTTGGTATACAACGTTCACAGCCTGCTGCACGTTGCTGACGATGCTGAAACATTTGGCTCCCTGGATTCAGTCTCTTGCTTTCCATATGAGAGTTATCTGAATCGGCTGAAAAGGAGTGTACGCCGACCCAATGCTCCCACAGTTCAAATAGTGCGTCGTATCACTGAGCAAAAAACCTTTGGCAAAGTTAAGGTTCCATCAAACTTGTTCCGCTTAACCAGAGAGCATTCTGACGGACCAGTTCCTGAAGGTTTGGGTGAAGTGAGACAACAGTTCAAGCACCTAGTAGGACCAGTTTTCATATCAACTGCTGCTGGGGACAACTGTGTGCTTCTTGATGGCATGCATGTAGCAGTCGTGAGAAACATTGTGAAAAAAGAAAACCTGACCTACATTGTAGTACAGTGTTTTGAGAGGCAAGAGCCCTTCTATTCCTACCCGTTTGAGTCATCAAAGTTAGGCATATTCAAAGTGACAAAACCAGCACCAACACTGGAGTTTGTGGAAGTGCACAACCCCCAAATGATTCAAAAATGTATTCTTGCAGAGCTCAATTACAACACCTTTGTAGCTGTACCAGTGCTGCACAATCATCTTGATTAGACATATTCACATACTAGACATACATGCCTACCTATTCTCCTCCCCACCCATGTGCACTTCATGACAGCCATCAAATGCATAGCCAAGTGTCTTGGGAGAATCTGGTCTTTAAAGGCCAGTTGACTGTGTCTCTGAAGGCTGAACCACCGGAAAAGAACCAAGGCCCAGTTTTGTGACTAGTCACCAACATTTTGGATTTCTAGCCTCACTACATGAGGGTGTGTTCACTCTAACTATATCAAACTTCTCCTTTATTTTTGTAACAAAAAGACACCATTAACAATTCAGCAAGTCCAGGTGGGTGTACAATGTAATACCAGGTGCCAGAAAAATGTATCCAATCTTTGAGCAGCAGTAGCTCATTAGGTTGCTGTGATAGCGTTTTGAGCTTCAGACTTTAGGAAAGAGAATTAGATCAACTTAGAATTCAATGGTCTTTCCAGCATTGTTACGCTCAGAATTCTACCTACAATAGCCGAATACCTACAATAGCCGAATGAGCTAGTGATGTTCAAAGATTGGGTATATTTTTCACGCACCTGGTAGAATGTACTCGTATCACGTTCGTGATGATTTTTGCACAGTTTTCATTTTAAGATTGACCGCAGATATTTAAATTGCAGCTCCCAAGTCACGTGAACGGTCGTTTCGGCATTGAATTCTGTATGCTGTGTAATTTTTTTGAATCGACTGGGCACGGATTAGCTTTGAGTGACTATCCCGGTTCTTGGAGCGGGGTGGGGCTGCATCTCTCTTCCCCCCCCCCCCCCCAGCAGAGTGGATTCGGCTGAATACCACAGCCGCGAGTCACGGGCTAAATATAACCCATTGCCACTTTTGACCTCTGTTATTACCGCAGATATGTATCGCGTCGTCGCATTTATCGACGAAGATGAGGTAGCCGTGGTAAGCTCCCGTTGGTGGCGATCTACTGGCGATGGTGATCGGCGAGGAGAGGTGCGGTGGCCACCATCGAAGACGGACGCTGCAAAAAACCGGCTTTTGGAGAAGAGCGCGGCGCCAGACCACACATGGTCAACCCACCCAGCTCGCACCCTGTTCATTACAGGTGGGTTGTTTTTTTTCCGGATTATATTTATGATGCGACATTCCGACAACTTTGTTTAAAGTGACCATCCCACCTTAACACCAGTATAACGCCTTTTGGGGCGACTAACGGAGCGAGCGAGAGGGTGGGCCTTGCACGTGCAAAATTTCGAGGGGGTACCTCCAACTGACTCGTGCACGGCACCTTACTAACCGGCCTCTAGCGATGTGCCAAATTTGAGCACAATCGGCCCAGCCGTTCTCGAGATCTGGAAGCGGCATCCTGCACGTGCGCACGTGCAAATGGGTCCCAACTGACTTGTGCACGGCACCCTACTAACTGGTCCCTAACCGTGTACCAAATTTGAGCGCCATCGGTCCAGCCGTTCTCGAGATATGGAAACGACCCCTGCACGTGCGCACGTGCAGCAGCACCCCAACTCTGGCACATGGATATGCAGTGCCTAGTGGGTGCCTACCTACATGCCAAGAAATTTGGTAGATATTCGTTTTTGCTCTTTCTGAATCGAGCGACATCACTTTCATGCCAATTCATTAAAGGGACTGTCCCACCTTAACATTAGATTTGAGTTGAGATAGCCATCTTGATGGACTTTCTTTGAAAATCAGTGCCGTGAAAACCGTTTCTCCAGCAATTACTTCATCGCAAAGAAATTTGAGTTTGATTTTGACATCTGTGCAAATAAGTGCCACAATGTATTGGTATAGGCACTTAAATCTGATGACGTCATCAGGCTTTCGAACGTCCGTTAAATGTTTGACTAAAACGTTTTGTAGCACGCGGTGGTATATGCTGCATTGCGCGCAACAAATGCCGCACTTTTAAATAAAGTCGCTAGGAACAGCGGAGATCCCAAAAAGTAAACAAAAGTAAAAGTCTAATATCTTGAAAACCGGTGAATATTTTTCGGTGAAATTTGGTAGATATTCGTTTTCGCTCTTTCTGAACCGAGCGACATCACTTTCATGCCAATTCATAAACTTTTTTAAAGGTGGGAGGGTCCCTTTAACTTTTTTTGAAGGTGGGAGGGTCCCTTTAAGCATTAGTTTTCATATTTCAACCATTACCACATTTCCACCAAATTTCTATGTTTCTAAACATTTTGTTGTTGAAAACACGCTTCACAGCAACATGTTATAAATTATAATGGTTCCTCGACATGAGGCTAAAGGGACCACCAGTCTATTGCATTGTTTAAGTTTTATCACACCTTTTTGTATTCGAATTCAGCCATTGCTAGCATGGCAATATGCCGAATTGTTTCGACCATTGACTATTTGTTTTGCACAATGTTGAACCGTTTGCTCAATGTCGAGTTGTAGAGGAAGACCGCCGAATAGTTTCGCACAATGGTGATTCTTTGTGACCAACCGCCCATATGTAGCGCCACTTATATGGCGAATGTTTACAAATGTTTTGTCCAGTGGTCAAAAGCTAAGGCAAAAAGGTGCTCACCATAGTAGATGCTCACCATCCATAGTAGATGCTCACCATAGTAGATGCTCACCATAGTAGATAGGAAAGAGGCATATGGAGCGGATGCTCATAGGTTGCTGCCTCTTCTCAAAGTCATATGTCTGACGGTCATATCCGTTTTTGAATGCGTGGGTGCTTGGACTCAGTTCCACATGATACTGAGTTGTATTTGTTTCCCTGAACAGATGACCTGAAGAAGGCACGCTGCAAGGAGAGGCAGGCAGAGATGGAGAGTGACCTCAATAGTGAATCAGAGAAAGAGAACATTGCTCAGCGAAACAGACGGTACGTACGTCGTGCACGCTTCTTTTCCTTTTCCAAAGTAATGATACTCAAGGGTCATATTTTGGGAAAATTTGCATTTGTCAGTTATCCACTCCAATATGAAGTCGCTGAGATATCGATATGTTCCCAGCATTATTCTCAGGCTTTGTACTGACACCTGAAAAATTTCTTTATTGATGATTTGTGTGATATTTTTTCAGGAAGAATGCCCGCTACGATGAATACCTTCAAGAGAGTATCGACGACAGCGACGACGACGCCTCTAGCCTGGGACCTCGAGTGAGGGGCAGACTTGCTAAGCCCCCTGCTGCTCCTGATTTTTCTGTTGCAGGTAATTGCGTTTAGGAGCCTGATGGGCAGTTGCACACAATTAATGCCCGGTAGCGTTCATTTCCCACAAATTTACATATTGGCCGCCTCGCGCCATGACGCAGCAGGTGCGCGCGTCTGGTGATTGGTTATCCGTCTAGTTGCTTCCTAGATGCATTTTTATTTGAATTTTCCGGCAAGGACCATTATCATATTATCACGTGAAATAATGATTACAGACAAGATACCAGTCAGCACATCGCCAGAATCGTCTTATCGACGCATTTCTTTCGACATTCAGAACGATTTTAAGGGCAATGTCCTTCCTCTCTTCATGTTTCAGGAGCACATAGATCCGGGGGAATATCGTCGCCCGGACCATCAGGTGCCGTCGCCCGCTCGCCAATCGGCATCACGAACGCCTCGACAAGCTCCCAACCGAGGCGAGTAGACGACGACGGCTTGCCAGCACAGCCACCGTCAACACCGACAGGTGAGATTCCGACGTTTGCGCAGTTAGTCCGACGTTGATCCTCGCCCTGTTGGTGCATTTTTTATAATAAGGACGGTCCAGGGAGGCAGTCATGGCATCAATGAATTGGGTCCTTCTTGGTACTTAATTGATGTTTCATACTATTTGATACTTGATACCCCATTTCTCCCGATCCGCCACTGTACTTACTGCATAGGTGTTACTATTGACCCGTGTTTTTTCACTCAGGTCAGCTGAGAAGTCAGTGCCGCCAGGCCCTGGTGGAGTTGACGCCGCTGTCAAGCGCACGACCTTCCGTCGAAAATTCAGAAAAGTTGGCTGTATGTGATGGATGCGCAGCCACGCGTAAAAGTAAGTTCTAAAATGGCATTGGAATTAAGTATGCTGTGTATGTTACATATTGCTAACACTGATTTTCTGAAGTTCAGTGCAACTGTACACGTCATGTTTTTTCTGGATTGAGCGTCATATCCCCTCGTCGACGCGCCCTTCAAAGGTAACCGATGAACGATTATGTTTCAGTGAACCGCCAGCTGCTGCTCATGATGGGCAAGGTGCTGAAGGCGGTGGAGACCATGGACGGCGCCGTCCGGCAAAACACTGCTGCCATCCAGTCGATGGGTGGTGGCGGTGAAAGACCGACAGGTCAGCGAACCCTCCAGACGATGGAGGATTTCGAGGAGCTGGCCGTGCGGCTAAAAGATCGCGGCGCCTTCAATAACCTGGTAAGAGTCTTATTCTACAGCACATGAAACATGCATACGTGTCTGCCTGTATTATTTCAGCAACTGTGTGGGGTTCATTATAAACAATACGAGACTTTTGTACCGTTTACCTTTTTTTAACATGTATTTTGCCTGTACCGAATATACCGATCCTGTTCGTGATCATCACTTTGAGAAGGATGGATGAAAACTATTGACCAGACTATGTTCCCGGAGTACACTGCCTGCAAGTATCATCCTCCGGTGGTGACCCATGGCCTTAGTACAGGACAGTTTGCCATGAAGTTTTCATTTATTACCTACTCATTTTCCTCCCATGTTGAAATTATAAGGCCTGTTGATGTATTAATGCTTCTGATGTCGGATGACTATGCATGACTTGAAATGCAGAAAGCTGTCCCCTGGAAGAGGTGTTGTGTGTGGTGACCTGCATCAGCATCATCTGTAGCGCATGTGAAAGACATCAGCTCAAGTGTGCAATACTTTGCTCCAGGTCGACCAGCTCAGCGGCTGGTGTTCAATGGCGGCCGCCGACTTGGACCGCAACGTCCGCATGGTGATGAGGGCGCTGATCGCGCCCTGCCTCGCCGAACGGCTCTCCCTGAAAGGGAGAAACGGAAAGAGGGCCGTTGAAGGGACGGAGGTCTACGAGGCCATATTTGGTAAGTCCTGTGCTGGATGGCTGTCAGGATGAAAGTGCGTAAGATGAAAATGTTGCGGCAGACGTCTCGAATGTGTTGAGTTTGTCAGACTCAAGCTCGTTGTTGAATAGGATGTATGTCTTGCCCAGTCTGAATGTCATTAGTTTCTTGACCGTAGATGATGTAAGAGAATCACAGCCACCTTTGGCTTATTATTTTATTTTTTTTTAGCTCCACTTAAAGCTTCAGTGATGTAGCCATTTGCCTATGTGCCATTGGCCCTTGCTAAAAGCTCATCACCATATTTTCTTATCATTTGAAAAAAATGTATTTTTGTTGTACATTGAATGCTCAAATACAAATAATGTAAAGTTAGATATGTTAAATATACAGTTAACAACAGCAAACCTAGTTTAATCTGAGGTATACATTAACACAATTCGTCACTGTTTGCCCACAGCCGTCCTTCGCCGTTGCGGCGGCGCCGACCGCCAAAAGGTTGGCACCGCCGTCGGCAAATGGCTGTCGGGGAGCCGAGACCGGAACGGCAAGCGGCTGCTAAGAGCAAAGAATAGCGCCGCCGGCTCACAGAATGCCGCCGCGTCGCCGCCGTCGCCACAGCCGTCGCCGCCGCCACCGCAGCCGCAGCAGCAGGAGCTGGCTGACGAAGGAGAGCTGGACGTGTTGGTGGCCGGACTGGGCCTGGCACGCCCTGCGGAGGGGCAGGTGCTCCCTGCTGACGAGTTTTAAACTCATGTACTGAGCAGCTTTGAGCTTGCTCATCTCAGATGTGATTTTTCAATACATATCGTTTTGATTATTTCCGTTTTACTGGAGAGGCGTGCGAGAACCCGGTCGTCGTGGTTTGCCACTGAACAGGTCTGTAGGACAGTTTGGGGGTGTATGACTGTATAATAATGCGTGGTGCATTGTGCATACCTGCCTGCATCCGCCCATGGCACACGAACGCTGCATCCGCCCATGGCAGGAGGAAATAACCGATCAGGACCCAACCGGATTTGGCATGGGCCTGCCCGAGTTATAAACCAGATAAACCCATGTGGGGCCACAGGTTAGCGCACTAGTTAAGCTGATGGCATAACTCGGGCTCTGCCCATGCGAAGTCCCCGTAACCCGGAAATGACTTGGGCTTGCCCACCCGGAGTCCGAACGGCAACGCTGCTCACGTACACGGGCAAGCCCACGTGGGCCCACAAGTTGGCGCAATAGTTAAGCCAATGGGAGGACGTGGGCTCAGCCCAACTTGAATCCCATTACCCGGACTTGGCTCGGGCATGTCGTAGTGGGGCCCGACTGGGCAAAACTCTGAATCGCGTCGGGCTAGGTGTGTCAAAAACCAAGCAAGGTCCCAGTCTGGACCGGGGCTAGCCCAAGTAACGTACTTGGGCTGGTCCGGCTTCAGCCCAATTGGGCCCCAATCAGAATTGTTCGCTGGGGTAGGTCACCCGGGCGTAGACATTCGATGGAGTAGGCAATTCGTGCGTAGGTCAGCCGGGCGTAGGCCACCCGGGCGTAGGTCACCCGGGCCTGAGCCGTTCGGAGACCACTGTGGGGCCCTTATAGGTCTTCATGATGCTTGAGGGCCCTCGAGCCCATCGTGGGGACCTCAGATGCCAGCGCGGCCCGTGGAGCCAACGTGGGAGCCCTCAAAGGATGTCGTGAGGAGCCCTGGAGCCAATAATGGGGCCCACAGAGGCCGTCGTGAGGGCTCTCAGAGTCAGATGCCGCCCAAAAAGTCGCTGTGTGGGCCGAGAGACCGGCATGGGGAGCACCCGACCGTAGGTACTGGACTCTCAATAGTCCCAGATCGGCTTTTGTCTCTCATCACAAGTATGTAATAAATGATTTGACGGGTGCTTGAAGGACAGCCTACGGATTTAGTCTTTCCCCATCAGGACAGGGGGCATCTTACCCCAAGGTGCCGAAGTAACATTAAATCAATACAATTTGTTAGCCATAAAACTACACCCTGAAACAAACTGTTTGGGACACGGTACACGCATGTTAATGTATCACGACTATAGCAAGGGACGCAAAAAATTATCTACCGTCTTTGATATTTACAGTGTTTTGACACCAGAATATTTTTTGAAAGCAGCAAATAAAAAACATGCAATCACCAGCCAGCCGTTGCTCAACTGAGCTTCGCAAATGTTTGTGCAGTTAACAAGGCAGGCTTCCGCTTTACGCTAAGAACATTAATTTCCAAGCTCGATTCTTTGTTTCGCCGCTAGAGGGGGTGGGGCGTCTTTCCCACCCTGGGCATCTTACCCCACTCTCCCCTACCTATCCTGGCTGCAAGATTCAACGCTGAATTACTGCATTGTAATACCATTATTATTATTATTATTATTATTATTATTATCATTAGTATTAGTATTATTATTATTGTTATTATTATTATTATTATTATTATTATTATTATTTTTATATTATTATTATTATTATTATTATTATTATTATTATTATTATTATTATTATTATTATTATTATTATTATTATTATTATTATTATTATTATTAGTATTAGTATTATTATTATTGTTATTATTATTATTATTATTATTATTATTATTATTTTATTAGTATTATTATTATTATTATTATTATTATTATTATTATTATTATTATTATTATTATTATTATTATTATTATTATTATTATTATTATTATTATTATTATTATTATTATTATTATTATTATTATTATTATTATTGCAGTTCGACCTATCTGGGCAGCCACATTGGGCCCATATGGGACCCATATGGTGAAATGTGTAAGTCAATAGCTGAACATAACCACAGAGAAGCGACCCATCGGGGGTGCCAAAGTCGGTCCGATATAGGACCCATATGATGAAGTGGGCAAGCCATTAGCAGAACATAACCACTGAGGAGCGACCTATCTGGGCTGCCCACGTCGGGCCCATGTGGTGCCCATATGGTGAAAGAGACAAGGCATTAGCTGAACATAACCACTGAGGAGCGACCTATCTGGGCTGCCCACGTCGGGCCCATGTGGTGCCCATATGGTGAAACGGACAAGGCATTAGCTGAACATAACCACTGAGGAGCGACCTATCTGGGCTGCCCACGTCGGGCCCATGTCGTTCTGATATGGTGAAACGGACAAGGCATTAGCTGAACATAACCACTGAGGAGCGACCTATCTGGGCTGCCCACGTCGGGCCCATGTGGTGCCCATATGGTGAAACGGACAAGGCATTAGCTGAACATAACCACTGAGGAGCGACCTATCTGGGCTGCCCACGTCGGGCCCATGTCGTTCTGATATGGTAAAAGAGAGGTCAGTAGATAAGATAACTCCCCGGAGATTGTAAAAATTTCCGATTTTGTCATATAGCTTCATTTTATCACCATTGTTTATCTGTCATCGACACACGGTCAATAATTACTAAGTTGACATTTGTAGGTCAACTGAATCAACTGAACCATTATGTCGATGAGCTTACCAGGAAATGTCAAAGGGCATTTTGATTTGTATTGTTGCAACAAGCACGACTCGTACCTTTATTTGGGAACAGTTTCGAGCTGTACGATAATTTCATTGAATACTGAGGCAATGCCCACAAAGTTCATTTGTTTTCAAAGTTCATTCAGTTCAAAGTTCATTGTTTTTTTGTTTGTTAACCCGCGCCCCACTGGGGGGGGGAGGGCTATTCATAGCCCCCTTCCCGTTTTTCTGCAATAACTTCCAAACCACTTGACGTATCGACGCCAAACTTTTAGTACCTTCGGCTGCATCAATTTGACACATTGTGTCAAAATTTGAACTTCGTAGCTAACATAGGTCGGCTGGAAATGACGTCAGAGTGACGTCATGTTCGGCCGATTTCGACGCAAAACATTGAACCACGGCAATCGCTCCCAAGAGCTGAGTTTTTAAGCTAGATCCAATTTCTTTGCATGAAAGCACTCAGAATTGACTGCGCTGTCAAACTGCAATCTCGGATTTTCAAAATGATGAAAATTTCGAGAATTTTATAAAATAATATTCAAAATTTATATTTTTATATTTTTCAAAAAGTTTTTGACTTTTCGAAAAAAAACGGAAAAATGTGACAGAACGTATGCTTATGACTATCTCTAGCAAGTTTTGGCCAAATATCTTCAAAAATGGCCAAGTTATACGCATTACCTATTGCAAAAAAATTCACAATTATTAATTTTTCAAATCAATTGTTCAGTACGTATTTGACATCGTACACCAATATAAATAGCACCACCGTGTTCCTCAGCTCAAACTGCATCCAATAGACACTTTTTTGTTGAAAATTTTCAACTTCAAAATTTGACCTTTTTTGACCTGAGTGACCTGACCTAAGCTAAATTCGACTCAAAATGACCTCGAATGACACAGACGACATCAAATTCGAAATCTATGGCCTAAATGGACCATAAAACATGTGTCACGTGACCAACGCATGATATAATATTTCCGTGACCTGTGATGACCTGACCCTGACCTGAAAATCAAAGTACAGGTTTGGTACCCTCAAGGTATCTAGAGCATCTGTTCACGAGTGTGTAAACCAAAAATGAGTCTTGACTTGTAAGACGGCGGCCAGAGTCCAAAATGTGAACAAGCCGAAATGCTAATAATTTTTACTTTGACCTGACCTGTGACGTCATCGGTGACCTCGAGGTCAATGAAATTAGGTTTGATTCGACAGTTTCTCCGGGGCTATCAGACGCCGTTTGAATTTTGACGATCGGCGCAGTAGTTTCGGAGTTAGGAGGGGGGCTATGGAGAGCCCCCCTCCCCCCCCAGTAGGGCGTGTTATACGCAGACCCCAGTGGGGCGCGGGTTAATAAAGGTAACGGAAAAGAGCAATATCCTCTTATTTATATGGCTCCTACGCAAGCAGTCACTCTGTTCACATAGCGAACGAAGCTCATCATGAGTTAGCTAAAAGCTTCACAGCTCCCCTCGTCATTTGTTTCCGGAACAACGCTGATTTCTAAAACTGGTTTGCAATTTCCATACTGCTGTTGTGTCATGGACCCACCTGACTGAGACATGCCGATTTCAGGACGTGGCCAGACCGAAACAGTTCACGAAAGTACGGTTGTAAATGATGAAGTACAAATATGCATAAATGTTCTGCAACAGCGTTCAACAGTCATTTTATTGCAACATTACGGAAATTTGCCCTCTATCATTTAAGGGTTTAACATCGATATAGGAGGTGATTTTCAAGTTTTATAAACCTCGACATCGTTCCCTTAAGTACCTACCTTTTTAACCCGCGCCCTGCTGGGGGGTGTTTGAACACCCCCCTTGTGGTTTTTCGCGAATATCTCAAAAACGGCGGCGCGGAGCGCCGCCGTTTTTGGTACACCTTATCATACATCAATTCTACACATTTTGTGAAAATTTCAGACCAAGGGCATTCAAGGTCAGGTCACCAGGTTACTTGAAGTGACCTCACCTCATAAAAAGTTTCAATGTCTGTCATAGCTACACCGAGTGACCGATCGCTTTGAAACTTTCAGCGGTTGCTAAGAGCAATAGCATGTACATACAAGATGTATATCTCAGAATTTTGATATCGATGACCTAAGGTCAGGTCAATTTTGCGACCTCCCCATTATAAGTCAATGGGAGAAAATTGAAATGCGCCTCCTTTGGACGAAAGACATTATAAACACTCCCAAAGACTGAGTTACAAGTGGTTTAGACACACTGAACATGAAAATGGTGTCCGTGACCCTTGTTTATGCCCTGAGGTCATCTTAGGTCACGAATGGTATCCAACAGTTTTTCGCAAATAACTTTTGATAGAGGCATGCTAGAGCGATGAAAACGCCTTAAGGCCTGGCTACACTATGCGTTTTCTGCGTGCGTTTTTGCAGGTTTGCGTGTTTTGCGTAATATCGTTCTAGGAAAAAAGTTATAAACAATATAATTTTTACTTTGGTTATATACAAAAGCTAATATAACTCTTATGTAACTAAAATTTAAGGTGAAAAACATCACAAAAACGTAATATCGTTCCTTTTTCTAGAACGCTATCACGCAAAACACGCAAACACGCAAAAAACGCACGAAGAAAACGCATAGTGTAGCCAGACCTTTAGATGTGTTCAGCTCGACGATACGGATCGACTGATATGCAACATGACCCTTTCCGGTCAGGTCATGACCTTGACCTGAGGTCAAATTTTCAAGTTGACCTTTCAAGGTCAAGTTATAGTTCATTCGATGCGTCTTGACGAGAGAAACACGATGCCGGTAAAAGTAAGCTCGTACAAGGCTTGGGTCAAAAGTTATTGCAGAAAAACTGTTTCCGAAAAAAATAGGCTATTTTTGCAGTTTTTGCCCCCTGCAGGCAAAACCGTTGACGTTAGGTCAAATCTGAGAGAATTACTCAGAAAGGGCGTTAATAGGGCTATCGAATGCGCTTTTCCGCGGCGCTGCAGCTCTATTGGTTCCCGAGTTATGCGTTGGCTTCTTGGAAATTGTCGACATTCGACCTGGAAATCGGCGAAATTTTGCCTTCAATGACCTCTGGTGACCTGACCTTTAACCTGACCAAAAAATCGACCGAAGTGATTTCCTCATTATTTTTGACGCTCTTTCGAACGCCGCCTTCCGCGTATCGCTACGTGGCCCAGGAGCCGAGTTAGAAGGGGGGTGTTCAAACACCCCCCCCCCCCCCCAGCAGGGCGTGGAAATCCAGGACCCCCAGCCGGGCGCGGGTTAAAGATGTATACCTAATTGCCATTCTTTGTGACTCTTTGTGGAGGCGTTTGTTAAGATGCATCGACTGAGGATGATAATGTTCCGCAATGGCTGAAAAAGGCAGCTAAGCAGTTGTTCTGTATTTGTTACACGATCGTATTAGCGCAAAGCTTCAGTTAGTTGTCACCGGCTGAACAACTCTGCTCTCCTTAATTAGCACACGTCAACACCGGCGCCCCACCCCGGCGAGCGAGGGGGACCGACAACCACCGGACCGGACCACGCACGGCCGCATCACGAAACATTGCAACAAACATTAGTCAGAATTGGCTCACACTTTACGAGGGTCGCCCTCAGTCCCCCACTCCGGGCCCGACCCTGCCATCCCCTCTCTATGTTCGCATACTCTTCATGTCCGCTGACCTCCCATCCTTTCCCATATGTTCAATCCCATACAGCTGCATATTAAGTTACGCACACAACACACTCGCTGGCATGCACAATAATGTGGCGCTCAATCTTGCGGCCTCGCCGGTAAATATAACAGTGAAGAGAGGAGACGATGGGCTGGATGGAATATACTGAGTCAAATCCACAACACACGCTCGCCACCTCCCGCATCACGAACGACAAAATATATATCCTCGGTATTCGCTTCGATAAACGGGACATGGGCTAGCTATCGGCATTACCGCTCGCGCTAGACACAGACCACCGAGCCACCTTCTGGCCGGCGGCGGATGTTGAAGTACCGTATTTGTTCGGCAGATGGTGCTGGCAGTTAGAGCTGGACCTGGGAGCCTCTCCACGACATCTGGCCGCCGTAGCCGCCGTAGATGGAGCCGTAGAACTCGGAGCCCATGCCGAGCTTGTTGGAACCAGGCGAGTACCCAGACTGTGAGGGAAAAGGGACAGCGTTTAGTCAGCGACATGCGTTGGCTCCATACCTATGTCTAGTTTGATCGAGAATGAGAGCGAAACCATGGAACTTGGATGTCTCCATTCAATAATGCTACAATTGAAGTAGGGTCCACATCTATCTCTATCATCCACTGAAGTAAGACAACCAGTAACCACCCTCTCGTCCCTCCCGGCCACTCACGTGCACGTATCGGTTGAGCTCCTCCTGTGTGTCGAAGATGGCCACGTTGAAGGGGCTGCCGGGCACGTTGTCACCCGACCACTTGACCTCTATCCTGTAGTCGCCCGGCTCGGTGGGGTCGTACTTGCAGAGGATGATGCGGTCCTTTTGCGACTCACGCTGCATCTCCACACGGAACGCCGCTGGCGGGGGACAAGGAGTTAGTGCAATGAAACTGATAGCCGGTGGGTGATTACGTAAATGAAAAATCTAAAGCGACTTGATAAAGCTAAAATGAAGGGTACGCAGCGAGGATGTCGCGCTCTAACTTGTAATGACGCAAACGATTTCGATCGAGATCTATTTCTACTCCGCCCTTTCACTCATTCTGCATCAGTAGTTAGTACTTGGTTCACTGTTCTTTCTGTTCAGTTCCGCTAACCCTTCACTCCTCCAACCTCCCTTTTCTTTTTTCACCAGCTCTCCATCCGTCTTATCCCGCCCCTCTCCTCTCTTCCCTCGCCCTCTCACCTTTCGGTCCCCGGATGCGGACGGTCAGCTGGCCGGCGCCGGCTCCCCGCGTGTCACACATGAACCGCGACTGGTACAGAGACAGGACACCCGGCTCGACACCGGGTCCGTACACTCGCACTTTACTGGCGTCCGGCGGGCCGGCGATCCGCAGCGAGAACGGACTGCCCGGCACGTGCTCTCCTGATGGGGAGAGGGGGTTAGATGGGTGAAAGGGGATGTAAGGCGACCTCTGGCTTGGTTAAAATGTGGCATTGAAGAAACAATACAAGTTCTGGTTTTACATATATGCGTGTTCGACTAAGAGACAGTGCCTTGGCTATTGTTTTATGTCAGAAGTGCAAGGTAGTTCATTTATGTCAAGGATGAAAGGGAGTCATCATCCTACATTACAGAAAAGTTTCTTAAACGGTATTTGGGCTATTTAACCATATTGGTAACCGACATATCTACCGACAGCAGCGAGCGGGCATCATTAATTGTACTTTTAAAAATAGGACCACACCCCACTTCCCAGCCTATTCCGCGCCTCGGCCGCGCTCTGTTACCGCCGTATTTGATGATGAGTTGGTGACGTCCCGGCTCCTGTGGCTTCACGTTGAGGCTGAACGTGCCGTCCTGGTGGTCGTACAGCTCCGAGAAGGCCGTCTTATGCGGACCGACGCAGTGAGCGGACAGCTCGCCGGGACCGGCGCGGCGCGTGTCGATGAAGGATTTGATCTCGTGACCGACCACGCCGCCCCGCAGACCGTCTCCCTTGCAGACGACTCGGCTGGCGTCTGCCACGGCCGCCACCGTCACCTTCAGAGGACAGCCCTTGATCTGCCTGTAAGACCGGGGAGGAAGACGTTGACTAGATATAATGGGAGCTTAGCGGCCACGTAGAGAACGGCTGATGATTAAACAAGCGAGGCTAAGCGCCCAACAAGGTTAACGTTCGCACATCAGACGACTCTTATATGTAAGGAAAATTAACCTATCACCTCAGTCGACCCTATTCGCCCAAAGACAACCATCCCACCGACCGACGCCTAGTCCAGGGTATGCCTAGTCGACCCTCACACTGACCAACCCGCCTTCTATCTGCCGCACGCCCTTCTGCCCTTCCCGTCACCCTAATGTCCGCCTTACCTGCCGGACCAGGCGACGTTCAGCAGGTAGGCTCCGGCCACGGACGGGGTGTATGCGGCTCGATACACGTTGTTACCGCTCGGGTGCAGGTGAACGTTAATGTCGGCTTTCACACCGCTCATTGTCACCTCGGGAGAGCCTGGGTACAGGAGGGCGGTCAGAATAGAATGTGATGGGTTCCGTTTGCCAACAATCAGCACTCAAGGAAGATTGACAAGCAAATGTGATGATGGAGAATCAAGACACCAAGCTATCGACATGATTAGTTACATTAACAATGTCTGGTAAACAATGAAAAACCATTGATAGGTATGACAGTATATCATGAAAATATATTTGCTCAACATTCATTCAAGAAACTCATCAGCTAGAGTTTCTAATAGTCATAATGAACTCGTCCTCTAATAATGTCCAATTGTGATCTGACTTATAGTGACCGTAAAGAGCCCTGCTGCTGTCACTAACTGTGCCCTGACCTGGTCCGGCCTGCGACCCGTCGATGGTGAACTCGGCCTCCTCGCCACAGCGGGCGCTGGCCAGGCCGTGGCCGCGCAGAACCACCCGCGAACTGTCAGACGACGAGCTCATCGTGTCCCCGAACGCTAAAAACGGAAACAGAGACGGAATATATAAACACGATAAAAAAAATGTAAAAAAAAGAAAGAAAACGGAGTCAGTGATCACGCCACAATAAGTGCAATCGCTGCAAATACAGGAGCACAGTCAATTAACACGGTACAGAAAGATACAATCGCTGGAAATGCTTTTTTAAGCAGGATACAGAGAGATGCAACCGCCCCATACGCCAGCGATTAGCGAACGAATCCTATTGAATACGACTTATGAAAACGCTACATCATTTCAAACTCCATGAAGTGGCAATTTGATCACAGGCGCCACACTTCCTTCTTTCCTAAATGAACATCATATTACTCTCCGTACCGAGGAAGGGTGAACCGGGCAGCGGCAGGTCGTTCCAGTAGAGGTACAGCAGGTGCTCTCCGGCCTCCTGTGGTACAAACGACACCCTGGAGCGGGACGCCGACGGGTGGTCCACGCGGCACGGGATAGTGGCGTTACTGCCGCTGCGCACCTCGCCACGCAGCTTCCCTGAGGGTGGGGGAGGGGGAGGTTAGACCGTGGGCAACACGCGAGAAATCACACTGGACGGTGAGCTGTGAGCTGTGAGCTGTGATTGTATTGAAAATGACTCATTTCATAAAAAAAAGTCGCGCAAACAAGCATTTTTCAATGACCAACCCTTTGGTCACGTGTGTAATTCCACTGCCTGAACGTAACTTTCAACGTGGACATAAGCCTTTTAACGAATTAGCGAAATAACATAATTAAGGCCAGTATTACGGTCTGTTAAAGGAAATAGTTCACTTTCACGAAATTATTTCTTTTGCAACGATTTATGATTTTTATGTTCAAAATAATCAGCAAAGAAAATAAAACCTTTTTATAACAAAAGATTTTTTTTTTCTATATTTTGATATAGGAAGAACTTTTCAGTTTCTGTAAGGCACACGCGATCCAGTATGAAAAGAGCATGGGTCCCGAAAATTCTTCAGAAACAGAGAAATTATCGCAGCCACCGGCATTTGGGCGATCTGCTCGATCTGATAATGTTCCCCTGAATGTCCTAATTGATCAGTACGAGAATTTCTCTAGAGTTCTCGTATATAATTTCTCTAGTTTCTGAAGAATTTTCGGGACCCATGCTCTTTTCATACTGGATGGAAATATATGCAAGGCACACATCCTCACCGCAAGACACCTTTTTCGGGACGAGAAATAGAATATCTTTGCTTAGGGTGATCGTTGGGCTGTAAAAGCTCCTGATTTATGCTCGTCTCAGCCCAAGCTACGGAACTGCTATTCCAGTTCAAAACCCATGTTAAAAAGTGAACTATTTCCTTTAAAGCGACCGATGCTGATGAAATACCATAATAGCCGTTTTCACGACGGCCATCTGGTACACATTTGGTGCACATTTGGTGCAGATTAGGTGCAGATTTGGTCAAATTAGGTTCAGTGTATCTCTTAGAAGCTATCAGCTAGGGTTGCACTAATTGCTTATATGCCTCCTATGTCATATTATCAGAGAGCATCATCGATTAAAACACACAAATAAATTCATAAAATGAAGATATTTGCTGTAAAAGAGATTAGGTGCAGATTTGGTCAAATTAGGTGCATTCGCCGGATAGCCCGTCGTGAAAACGGCTATTAGCACCATTTTGAACGTACCGGGTCCTGCCTCTGCCACATCGAACACGAGTTTCTTCTCCTCGGCAACGGAGAGCTCCAGTCGTCCCTCGCGGTCCTGCTGGCTCTCCCATCCACCGATCACCCGCACCTGGGGGACAAATATGGGTCAGCTTAAAATTAGAAGTCACGTATAGTTATCTACAAACCAACTGATTAAAAATCGATGTTAAAAAGACTCACTCTGGTCGACATTCTCACAAAGACATATTTTCCGTCACGACATTCTCCTCCCCCCTCACCTTTCTGGGGTCGACGATCTTGGGGTGGAATGGCGATCCAGGCACCTCCCTGCCGTTCCAGAGGACGCGCACGTCAAACAGGCCGACTTCTCGCGGCGTGTAGGTGACCAGGTATCGACCGGGCGACTCCTCCTCGACACTAGTCTTGGCCACGCTGTCCGGGCCGTCCACCTGGACCTGAGGGGGGGGGGGGGGGGGCAGGGTCAGTCATGGATCGGAGGAGGGTGAGCGAAGTAAAGGTCAATTCATGCACATCACTTATTCATCATTCCGAGACATTTGTCATCGCATGAAAATTTAGATCGCAGTTTACCTCAGTTAGCGAATAAATAGCCACAGTCCCCTTCAAGGGCGAATGAAAAATAACCACCAAGGATACAAATACCAAACAATAACACCAATTTCCCGAACAACTTCCATTGTGCTATGTTCCACTCCCCGGCAGATTTGGTCCTCTCCGACCCAAAACAGTAGGTATCCTGGTATAGTTACCTGCGGTTCTCCCATAAGTCCGACTGCATCCAGTTTGAATGTGACCGGCTGACCGAGCTGTCCAGCCGTCAGACCGTCTCCAGTGGCACGTGCCATGCCCTCCTCCTCGACGACAAACGTCAGTGGAGAGCCTGTGGGGGTATAAGGTATGGTGAGCTAATCGTGCCGATTGAAACATAGGTTAGTTTATAGAGATGACATAAATAAGCAGTAAACATTTGACTTCGATGTGGATATTTTGCTGTCAGGACGACTTGAAGTTAAACCAACGACAAAATTAGGCTTTTTTAGGATGAGTTCGCCTTTGGAAACACGCATTGTTGCACATGATTGAATCTTCAAAACAATATTACCGATTTCACACAAGGTTCTTTGCATCATCAAAAGTACAATGTCTAGCCACATAACCATACCTCTCAGCACCTCCCTGTGACCCTCACTACCCATGCGACCCCTCCACCGTCCCTACCTGGCACCTCCTCGCCGCCGTATGTGATGGCCAGTTTGTAGCGTCCCGGCACGGTCGGCAGGAATTCGATCACCTCGCCGTCCTCGTTGGTGGCCGTCACGTCGATCGGCAGGTTCTTCCCCAGAGGCGACGTCACCGTCACGTCGAGCTCGGCAAGACCGGCGTTCTGGCGACTCACTGGAGGAGAGAGATGAGGGTTTTAAGACAGGGAGTAGTGTGAACGGTCGTTCAGACGACTCACTGAAGGGGTGAGGGGAAGGGAGGGATAGAGCGTTATAAGGAAGTAGTGTGAGAGGTCGTACAGCTCGGCCAGACCGGCGTTCTGGCGACTCACTGCGGAGGGAGAGATGAGGGCAACAAGGAGGATAAGAGAGAGGAAAGAGGGGCTTAGTAAAGATGTCAGTTACGGAAAATCGGAACACCGATACCAAACCAAATGCCAACCAAAACCGTGGAGAAATACCGAAACCAAACCAACTTGGGAACATGAGGGAAATACCAACTTTTTGCCGATTTCTTGGCCTCTTATACATTAGTGGGTGTTCATGATACCAACAGAATATCAATCACATTAGGATTTAAATACCAAATACCAAGTTGGTATCGGTTTGGCAACGGTATACCAAAAGTCGGTATCCGATTGACATCCCTAGGGATTAGAGGGCTACGAGTGAGAGAGAAGCTAACAGGTCACTCTGATAACACACGGAGTACGATCGCATCCCCTTCAGTCATGACTTTTCGGCAGCTTAGAAAGAAGATCAGTGAATTGAAACGAATGTTTGAACATAACCACTGAACAACGCTCATGAGTCACTTGTTGACACAAATAATCAGCGTCACATCCATGCCTTTTCGCGTGATTATATTTGACTCACACTATATACAAAGCATACTTTTTAGTCCGAGGGCGGCCGATTAATAAATAGATGATGATGCAAGACTCTTGTTGCACGCTGAGTGAAAAGTCCGTGTATTCCCCATCCCGAACGGCTGCATGTTCAGCGATTACTCACGATTGACGGCGATTTTCTCGTTGATGCTGAACTGTTTGATCTTGAGCTCGTCAATGACTACCTTGGAGGCGTCGTAGGTCTGGCAGGTGAAGGGAGAGCCACGGATGGCCTTCATGTCGTGCAGTACCTCCACTGTGTACGGACCTGAGCAGAAAATGTGGTCAGTGGTCAGAAATCACGAGGACAAGCTGTGACGATCGCGTAACATCAGGGAAAATGTAGTCAATAGGAACTGATTCCATAGGATCACAATCCCATTGAATTGCTTCAGAAATGTAGGACACACGATTTGCACGCAGGGACAAACGACAGCAAATATTGTAAGTATAGTAAATTGTAAATTGCAACGCATATGAATAAATCGTTTGTAAATTGGCACAGACATAACTCTCCAACATTCCAAATTTCCATGGAAACTTACCAGCCACTCCGGGGACGAACTCGACCAACATGTTTCCGTCCTTCTGCTGGTAGCACTTGACGGGCACCGCCGATCCGGTGGGCGAGGTGACCACCACATCAAACTCCTTGCCGGCGTGGCCGAGCGTCTCCAGTACAAACGAGGTGGGCTTGTTGGCGCGCGACTGGTGCAGACCCAGGCCCGAGGCCGTGATGGATTTGCCTTGCGCCGGGTTCCGGACGTCCATCTCGACCGGACAGCCTGAGAGCCACGGCAGGGAGAAGTGAAAGTCGCCGCAGAATAGAGACATGGTGGGAGCAGCGGTAAATTCTATGCTATCCTATCAGGCAACACCGATAGCACACTCAGTCGCGATGGTCATAGACACAAGCCCATCACTGGCGGTTTCGGTCTAGCCACATATGCAGTCACCGCCACTGCTTCAAACACAGCTCGCTGCGGCCGTAGCCATCAGCGCTACCACAGCCCACAAGAACAATCCGCACTGTCTGTCTCCATACCTAACACTGGTCACAACCAGACAACAGCAAGGAGCGGCGGTGAGACGCGTCAAACGAATAGCAGGAACGTCGTGGCCACATTGTGTGTTATCGGAACAGGCTATTTCCCCTTTCAGTAACTTGAATTCGCCTCTTTTACGTGATATAAGCGGATCTACACCGAAATGTGCACTTCCCCTGGGCATCAGATCAGTGATCACTAACGGTTCAATTTCCTCAATCAATGCAGAGGTCAATGGTGATTCATATCGAATTTACGAACTTGTACGATTGATCATCATTTGGCTTTATAATAACACATTACACAATAAGCCGTTTCTAGCTTTGACATTTGTTGATTAGACGTTAAAAGATGTTCAGTCGCTTTACTTACCGGTGACGGGCACGCTGTTGTACTTGACATCGACCTTGTGTGGAATGGCCACCTTTGGCGTGAAGATGACCTCGTACTGACCCGAGCCGATGTCACGGATCGAGTGTTTGACCTCCTGACCTGCGGCACGCACCGATACCGACAGGGTGCCGCGACCCGCCTGGGACGCGTCCACTGAAACGGCGGCAGAATACGTTAGATTGGCGGTGGACAGGAAACGATGAAGGCCTATAGAAACGTACATTGCAGTCTGGGTCCAGAGTGGACGTATGATGAAGACTGAAGTCGCCAGCTGGGTAGAAACTTTATTTTGACAGTAGTTTGCAAAGCGACGGTTACATGAGACTTAGGCGATCTTAGAAAGTGTGTCACCTTTCGCTGCCAATATAATTAGCCCACGTAATATTCGGTGAACTAAAACGCATAATCGGTTGGAAGGACTACAACAAAATTTTCACGGAGCTGAGCTATCAAATCCCCGTACCTTTGAGGACGGCCTCCCTGCCGACGGCGGGCTGCTCGCCGGGCCTCAGCCGCACCCGGTTCGGGTCGGCCACCTCCACCACGAACGGCTGCTTGCTGATGGTCTGACCGCCGTGGTAGACGGACACGGTGTAGCCACCCACCTCGGCGGCCCGGTACTCGGCACGGTACAGACCCGACTTGAGACGGGTCAGACGAGACGGCACCTCGCTGCCGTGTGGACCTGGGAGAGAAAGGGGAGGTTAGATGAAGAAAAAAAACACTGAAGCAATGCTCCCCAAAATCACAGCATGAACCATTTAACCACAAACAGCAAGCAGAAGATAAATGTTTTATAACGGTCCATACCACTGCACGGATGAAAAGGTGCCATAACACGCAGCATATCACCCCAGAACTTACCGATGATTTTGACCTCGACCTCGCCCTCCATGCCCTTGGCGTCGACGTCGAAGGTGGCCCAGCTGCCGCTGACCACCTGTTTGAGGCCGTCCCCTCGGGCCGTCACCATCTTACTCTCCTTCCGCTGAATATGGCGCATCTCGCGGGCGTCCAGCTCACGGACGTCGCACTTGAACGGACTCCCTGTGGGAGGGGGGGGGGGGGGGTGATGGTAGATATCAGTAGGGGAGGTGGTAATGATTGTGATGTGGTAATGTGATGGCGGTGCATCGCTATTATCAAGATGAGATATTGATGTCAAGGTTTTAGCGAGGTGAAGAAAATCTGGTATAGTTCGTTTTTCTTAAGTTTGCCCCTCACTGTAAACGTCTTTTTCAACACAGCACGAGAATTGCTAGCTGAATTACTGAGAAAACTGGTTGGCGCACATTGTATTGGAGATATGAATAATATTTTCAAAATAAGTTTTGAACACCGACGATGTAACGTTAATGTTAAACGCCGTGCAATTTATTGATTAGTTCAGACATAATTCCTGAGAAGTTGTCTATCACTGTGGAGCTATAGGTATGGGTAAATACGAGCTATGAGTCTGTGAAATAGTAAACAAATTTGATAAAAGTGATCGTCTGTGAAATCTGGTGAAATCAATGTGCGCCAACCAGTTTTCTCAGTAATTCAGCTAGCAATTCTCGTGCTGTGTTCAAAAAGACGTTTACAGTGAGGGGCAAACTTAAGAAAAACGAACTATAGTTGCCTCATAGTCAGCTCAATATAATCTCACTATCAATTGCTGTTGCAATCGTACGATGCGTAGGCATAGCTAGAACGTGAATAATAAGCTAAACTGGAAAGCCCACACTAATGAATCCCTGCATGAAAATGACCATATTTACCTCATCGTCGCATTTACTTCCGCAATATGACATCAGGAGCTGATGAAGCCATAAATCGCTTCGAAATTACTGAGACGCTTTCGCCCTTCCAAACTTTTTGCAGAAAAATTTGATACCAAAGATATTCAGGAAGGAATGATCGAGTTAGGCTTCAGATTGCAATAAGGAGTGTTCGGTGTTTGCATTCATCTTACCCGGCACATCCTCCTCGTTGAAGGTGACGTTGACAAAGTGCGGGATGGCCTCCTGGGCCACGAATGTGACGTCATACAGGCCTCGGCTGCGGGCGGCCACCTGTAACAGCCATCCAACGGTTAGTGATGCGATCGCAGGGCGTCTACCGTTCAATCGGTCGATACCTCGCCTTGCATTAGGTTGTGTACCTTTAAATGCAGCATCACAAGTATGTTTAACTATTACAATTGCTTTATTCGACCGGCAATAAGACTTTCTGGAACTTCACAAATACACGCATATAGAAACACGATACTTTGTTTTATGATAAAAACAGCTGCCGATTCACCTATTCTTCACAAGATGATCATTGCAGTCCATTGTTGCTTACCTCGGCTCTCACTGTAGCTTTGCCAGTGGTCACCACCAGCTCGAGGGTGCCCTCTCCGGCATGGGATGCGTCCACGGTAAATGTGACGGGACGTCCCACCTGCAAAACGACAGGTAGGTTAGCAGTGTCATCGGTTCGCTTGCTGGTATGGGAGCAGTAGCGGCGGAACACCTTCAATTAAGGGGGGAGGGGCACTGCCGACTTTTGGTCCCATTCTTTCCATGCAACGCCCATAGGGCTAATGTTAAAATGCTAAAATCAAAGGGGGGCACGGTGCCCCGGTGCCCTCCCCGTTCTGCCGCCTATGTATGGGAGGCGTCCACGGTAAAGGTGACAGGATGCCCCACCTGACGGGAGGGAAGGGTAGGAAATGGTCATTAGAGGCCATCGAAGGCATCGGCGGGATTCGATCTAGGGGATCGTTATCCGTTTCAACATCATGCACGGTGTGCAACCTCTACTCGGGTGTGAAGGCCACCCTGTAGTTATCAATAAGACAACACCAATGAGCACATTGTGTAGATATCCGTGACAGGTCACCGATATTACAAATGCAAGCAATCTTCCTCCACTACAACAGCCAAAATGCTTTAATGATACCCGAGGTTGTGCAATATCCTCCCGGGACATTTCACACATCTGTGCTATCCTCGTTTTCTTCCATCGTCTCACAAGGTCTCCCCCCCTCTCTCTCTCTCTCTCTCTCTCTCTCTCTCTCTCTCTCTCTCTCTTTCTTTTTCTCTCTCTCCCATCTCCCTCCCCCTCCCTCTCACCTTGGTGTTTTCCAGACCGGTGACCACCACTCTCCCGACGTCGTAGATGTTACAGGTGAACGGTGAGCCACCCACCGGCTCTCCGTCCATCACCACGCTGACCGTGTGCGGCCCCACCTCCGTCGGCTGGAACTCGGCGCTGTACCGGCCGCTGGCGCCCTGCTGCACGCGCACCGGCACCGACTGACCCGACGGTGACGTCACTGAGGGGAGAGAACAGAATACGGCGGTGACGTCACTGGGGAGAACAGAATACGGCGGTGGTCAGTGGAGAGAACAGAATACGGCGGTGACGTCACTGAGGGTAGAGCCGAATGCGGCGGTGACGTCAGTGGGGTGGGGACAGAATACGGCGGTGACGTTAGTGGGGATAGAACAGATACAGCCGTGACGTCGGTGGAGACAGAACATAATACGGCAGTGACGTCACTGAGGGCAGAATAAAGGGACGACGTTAGTGGAAGTAGCGGAGATAGCAGGGTAGAAAGGGCAGTGGAGGTGGTGCAAAGCCCGGGGCCAGAGAAGTAGGGATGATGTCATTGAGGCAAAGTGAGCCAATGACTGATCGTGAGGCGAGAGAGAAATGAAGCTAGGTAATCAGTAAAACATGACAGATTACTGGGCAGCCACAGCAAACACGAGTTCAGCACTACAGCGCAAAACAAAGTCGCATGACGGAGAGCTTAGGATGACCTCCTGTAATTGGCAACAGGAATACGAGCAACTAGAGCACTCAGTCTTCCATGTGGCAAAAGCATTCACTCTTGCAACACATTTAGTAAATTTTTTAGACGTGCAATGACGTGTATCGAATCTCATATCGAGGCAAGAAAGCATGGCTAATGAAGGAAGCCGCTATCACACGAAAGAATGAAAAGCTCACTGAACCGTGATATCTAGATGACGGAGTTTACGTCCAATTAACCTGTTCCGAGCCTCATTATGTACTGCTCATGCATTGCTTATCGGGTACCCATGCATGAAAACTGATTGTCGAGCAACAAAAAAAAAAAAAAAAAAATAGACGCAGTTGTGCTTTAAGCGATTTGTATAGTTAGTGCAAGATCGAGAATCGTCAACTCTCAACCATCTCACTGAAAAAGCTTTAGGACATTATGGATAATATGCGATGAATGGGGAAATTATACACATCATAGAATATCGAACAAGAATCTAAGGGCGAAGTTATTCCTTTTAGTTTGTATATGCCTCGGTCAAGTGTTTTTTTCCGGTGTGCTTTCGTCAATCGTCGAGCTCACGCAATCAAAACTTGGTGCTACTTTTGTGTGTGAAACTGCAGTCTCCATCTCGCGTTGAGCGTAGGTTAGTGTTTTGTGCTTTATTAAAGTCACCGAGCTTCATGTTTCCAGATACTAAAATTGGTTACGCGAGTGAGATAGGTATCTGGCAGCTTTCGTGCTAATCTTTATTTTCTATTACGGATTTGATGATTCCGTTAGTGGCAAAGCAATCTCCGCTTTGTCTACAGCAGCCATTCAACGATGATACCTAACATCGGGACAAGATATATGTTCCGTTCCGCGGACAATGTCTTGCAAAGCCGATTTTTTGAAGCGTGACTGGCGGTTTCTGCAGCCTTTGACGGTATTCCCAGTCAATGTGGGCTGTCAGGCTAGAATGCTCTTTCAAGTGAGAAAAGTGAGAGGATACGATTGGCCAATAGCAATCACCAACGGCCTCTCTATTAGTTATAGTCAATCTATGCAATAGCCAAGGAACAGATAGTTACTCGATGCAAAGTCATCCAAATAAATGGAAGACTTTTGCATGGAAAGAATGGGACCAAAAGTCGGCAGTGCCCCCCCCCCCCTCATCCCCTTAATTGAAGGTGTTCTGCCGCTACTACTTCCAAACAACCGACACGGATTCCACATAAGCCTTTTAGACACCCTACCGTGCAGTTTTCATTCAGAAGCCAGAACCGTCCACAGTAACACACTTTTCGGGTCATATCTACCATCAAATCCACCAACGCCCAACGGCCACTATCACCACCACACGCGGGGCTCGCAATGAGCCAAACCAACTCACCAGTCTCCCTCGTATCCCCTCTCTCACCACTGTACTACCAGCGCACACACCACACCTCACAGCACCGCCCGCACTACACCCTCGCGCGGCGCTGGCTGGCCATCTGCCTCCTCTCCGCTGCCCACTGCCTGCGGTAGCGGCGGCCACCTCACTTTCTACAGAGCTCAGTGGCCGGCGCAGTCCGAGTTATTCGGGCTGACCAGAGCCGACTGCTAGTCATCGGAGCACTTTCACACCACCGTGGAAGGGACGGATGCAAGTGGGAAGGATGCTGAATAATTTTGTAGAATGAAGGACAATTGAAAGGGGCTGATCTAGTTTCAGTGTTCTGGTTAAATTTTCTCCGTTTTTCGATTTTGAGCTATAACAGTCTTCTCAATAGCATTTTAGCAAAGCACTTTTATATGACAGACCAGTATCAGTGATTATATAAGTGATTATAATCAGTATTAAGTATTCGTCATTCGTCAATTACCTAAAGGAACTACAAACATAAAGTTTCTATTACTCTACTTCGGTCCGGACGAAACGATCGGATTTCACGTTATTGATTCCTTGAGACGTTTTCGCCAATTTTCGCTCCGATTTCATCCATCGACCAGGTTCGAGGGAACACCGGTCGACGGATCCAGCTGACACAGGTGCGGCACTGACAGTCCACTGCTATTGTACCGTCCGCCTAACTCAGTCCCACAATAGTGCCTGACAGACCCAGTTCCCGCCGCTGACCGGCCGGCCGGCTCCGGCCCGACGATCTGTGGGAACCGTCCGATACCGACCGCAGCACAGCTCAGAGGACGGACCGCGCCACGCGGACACCGTCCTTCCGAGTGGGGACATCAAATGGCGGAACGGCTGACCAGAGGCGGGCAGCGGAACGGAGGGCAATCGCTGGTCCCTTTAAAACATCAGACTCTTACGGTGCAATAACTCATATGTCGCAACATCCAACAACGGTTGATAATTAGCTTTAAGTGAAGCGCAGAGTGTCAGCGAAGAGTCGTTTTTGTGGAGTAAGTGTTTCATTTTTTATCCTTTAGGTACTTTCTTACCGCTATTGTTGCGGTTTTCATAAGCTAAAAAGACTCACCCACATTACCAACATTACAGTGATTCCCGGCAGGTTTTGATTACAGGTTCCCATGGTAATCGGCGCACTCTCACGTCTGTCAGGCAGAGGCGCTGCGCTGCAACGCTCCGTCGCGTGCGGGGTTGCCTCAGAGTCCAAATGGTGTATCTACATACATGGCGTAAGCGCCGTGAGACGCGTTTGTGACCAGTGACCACGTCTTCTTATCACTGAGTCTTCATGGGACATGGTTACCGCGTAGGTAGTAAAAGCTTAGCCGCCCAACTTTTGTAAGATGACAAATGTATTCGAACGAAGCGAATGACGAAAGTACCACCGTACGGCGTACAATATCGGCACCCGGCGGTTCAAAATTGTCCCGTATTCCCTGTACCTACAGACCGGACTTGTCACCCGTCACAGGACGGTCCTGCACCTTCACGGACGTCACGTGCTGTGAGTGACACCCCCAGTAAATGTCGCTCACGTTACATAACAGGAGAGCCGCTGCAGGGTACGGCCACCCCGCCGGAGGGCAGTTGGCCTGCAGCCATGGCGTCGGTGGTGTCTCTGCTGTGTCTACTGAGTCTGACGCTGGTGGCCGGGACGCCCCTTCCACAGAATCCAGCAAACATAATTCCTGCATTCTGTCATGGTGGGAAACGCTGTCCAAAAGGGATGAGCTGCTGCTCCGGCTCCTGTATGACGGAGTGTCGACTAGCAAGACCGATAATGTATAATACGCCGCCAGTGAAAGGAGTTAACCCACGGTTACCCAAGATCCCCGACGTTGTACCCTGCCTCTCCATCAACGACGACTGCGGCGGCGGCAAGTTTCCTCGCACTAGCATCGGTACAGTTCTGGTAGCTTGATAATATCGTCAGGTCGGGCATCCCTGGCACACATATACCTAATATTCGCCCTGCATATGTCTGCGGACAGCACCATGAGTGGCATGGTGCACGGAAGCAACGCAGAGTCGATCGTGTTCGGAACGGCAAAGATATTTCGACAGCATTGGCATCTACTAACTACTTGTGTTTACCAAATGCAGCTTCCAACAATGCTGCGGTTGTGACGAATTGCGCATGCAGGATGTACTGCAATATTTTATGTTTACTTTTTTCATGTGTATATGTCAGCTCAGCTGCTTGGGATAAGTAACGCCAGCACAACTACCAGAGCTTGTTGAGGTCCGAGTCAACTCTTAAGCAAGTACCTATCAGCGGAGATTAGGCATGTCGGTTGACGGAGGACAGCTACATTTAGGCATAGGTACAGGACACAGGCAAAACAAATTTTGTTAGAACAAGGAGCGTTAGCCATCGTTCACCTTTTACGTAGCTCAAGCATACAACTTCCTTGTAAAAAATCGCTTCCTGGCGAATGTGTTACCTGCTACATTTGACTTCATGGGCCATAGGAATAAATTAAGCATTTTTTATGGTCGCTGCTTTGCTGTGATAATTAAAATGGTTCAAGGACATAAAAGAGACAAAATTCATTTTACAGGCCAAGTCACGTTTTAATGCACTATAGGACAGATCATAGATGAACAGAAAACACCACCCAATCACTAGTGCAGCCAATGATATTGGAAAACAAAAATGTCAATTTAAACTCGTATTTAAGGGTTCTCTCGGCTGAAAGGTATTTGATCATTCACAATCATTGAATAAGACTCCAATCATTGAATGAGGTCTTCGAGGATGGTCTCCATCTCTAACGGTGCATGATGGCCTCACAGTTTCACCGATCCGCGCAGCTCACGTCTTGTCACAACTGTGTTTGCCGTCGGCGGCGTTACAATGTTTCTTCCTTTCTCAAATTTGAAGGTTAAATGGGTAGCTAGTGGCTACGGTCCCGAGTGCTTGCTAAGCGGATCTTTTTGCAAAGGACAAATTTTTTCTGAAATAGGATCTTTCTTCACAAAACCCTGTTGATGAAATATTATCGCAATGCTGACCTTCTATATAGTTGACAGGCCTGACTTGTTACCCGTCAAAGGATGGTCCCGAGACGTCATACAGAGGTCACCCCGGGTGTCAATCACTGCCTCCCCCTCCCGTAAAGGTCGGTCACATTACGTAACACCGGATTGGCCTGGGTACGGCCACCCCGCCGGAGGGCAGTTGGTCCGCAGCCATGGCGACGGTGGTGCCTCTACTTTGTCTTCTCAGTCTGACGCTGGTGGCGGGGACGCCCCTTCCGCAGCACGGCAAGTGGCAACCGGTACTTAAAGCCGCCTGAAGACTGCAGCGATGGCCGCGTCGATAGCTGTCCTACAGGACTGATATGCTGCGGGGACACCTGTTGGAGGATGTGTCCCAATCAGCGTCCGGTAGACCTTCCGCCTCTGATTCCGTTAACAACAGCACGGCCGTTGACAACCCACCCGCCTACGACTGCAACTCCGTCTTCGACTGTGGCTACGCCCGTGATTGTGGCTCCGCCTGCGACTCCTCCGCGGCCCCAGCTCCCGATCCAAACTCCGACACTTCTGCCCGGCGATGGAACGGGACGGCACTGGAGGGATAGATGTCCCTTGTATGGACGCCGGTGCTCACACCCATGACTAGATGCAACGGAGACTTCTCGTGTCCGGGACCGCTTAAGTGCTGTAAGCACGCCCTGCGGTCGCATACGAGTACCAATCCCAGGACCGAGCCAGGCTAAGCTCGTGACGTGATTGGGTCATACGTATCGTCCAATTAAATATCTACCCACTATCCAGAGCAGCTAGATATTAACGCCATTGGATGAGGTCTTTGGTAACACAAATGCTGTCGAATGTGTAACCGCACTCATCAATTAACTCTTGGCTTAAATATACGATAATCGCATGTGTATGGACCTAACCCAGTCTAACCGTTCTAAGCAAAAATATATATCCACCTACGAAATGTGTTTTACACCTCTCGGTACCCCGACTTCAGCCAATGCGCCAAACTTTAATTAGCCATTTGATATGACCCTACATTCTACAATCCATCGGTACATACCTCTGTGTCCCATTGCCTGCACTGACTGTAGTTATCAGTTGATGGTAACCCCCTACGAAGATTTATTGTAATTGCAATAATTGCAATAATTACTGTAATTGCAGCTCTTACGGGTACCTACTGGTAGCAAATACAGCCGAGCTCGGTGCCCTGTCAGTTCAGCCTTCTATGCCGCAGTTTGTCACATTCGAGTGGAATGTCCATTTGTCTAGTGGACCGCCGGACTGAAGGTGGGCGTCGGCAAACCTATTCTCGGAAACACTCGCCATCGACGCCCATACCTACCCACCATCGCGTCCGTCACTGGTGTCACGCGACCGTCACGACCGTCAGGGCGTCACGGCCGTCACGGTCGTGATGGCTCACCGAAAAGGTCGCGAGGCAGGTGTCTCATATGTCAAATGTTTCTACTGATATTGCATAACATGCATAGAAACAAAAGTAAAACGAATGGGCTTTAGTGCCTGCATATGGAATAGAATATTCAATATAACCAGAGTCGTTCATCGCCATGTAATGACATCAGCACTTTATGCGTTGACATTCATTATAACTTCTTCTATATAAGTTCCAACGTTATTTTAACCCTCGCCGGCACAGGCCATTTTGCGTCCTTCGACGGCACAAGGGGGGGGGGGGGTTGGTACGACCCCCCCCTCGCGTTTGGCCCCTGATCGAGCTAGAGCTTCGCGGAAAAAAACGAGCGTGTTGCCCGTCACGAGACGAAGCCGATGATACCCAATTTTAAGGTCCTAGGTCATCGGGTGACCTTCCAGGTCAGGTCAATGACCCGAAAACCGGGAAAATCGGAACCTGTTAGAAAGCCGTAAAGTGTGACTGCTATGTGGTTTTCCGGGGTGCTGATCACGAATATCGTGTTAGTTTTGATCAGAGATGATGTCTTTAAGCATTTAGACCAGGTCGGGTCAGGTCAGGTCAGGTCAACCGGTAGGGGTTGTGACGGGTATTCGTAATACGTGTCAACCGCCTCTGACAGCTTCGTAACATGTTACGAAGGCACCAAAACTACTTCGTAAATGTTCAAATGGTTGCTAAATTCGAATTCAGCTCCAAAAACTAGCCTAGAAACATGTAAAACTCGAAAAAGTGAACCGAGGTCACCTGAGGTCACCAAAGGTCAATGACCTGACCTGACCTTCAAGTGACCTTGACACCCACCCTAATGTATGGGAGCAACATCAAATCACATGGTTGAACGTTTGAAACCACGAAAAGCTTGCAAACGCGCGACTAATGCGAGCCGACATACGCCGAATCGCGATTTCGGCCAAACATGGTCTCGGAAAAGAGGTCACAGGTCAAAGGTCATTTGGGTCAGGGTCATGAAATTTTCAGGGTAGGTGTAAAATTGATCAATGCGAGGGTACTGAAAGTTTCGTCGCGATCGGCCGCTTTTTACGCGAGTTATTCGCGAAAAACCTTAGGGGGGTGCATCAACCCCCCCCCCCCCTGTGCCGGCGAGGGTTAATGCAGTCCTATAAGGCCAACGCCCTGGAGGTGCACTAAAGAGTAAGGACTTTGGCGTAAACTCCAGGACGTAATGTTCAATCACACCTCTCTAGGTATATCCATAATCAGGTAATAGCCCGAGCCATTACCACTTCAGAGTTTCTGTCGAAACCGCATCGGCACCCCTCAGACCCACTCGAATGAAGCAGTCTGGTGAAAGCACCGACGCCAGAATAATTCTGATGCTATTTTCATGCTACCAGCTGCGGGCTATCCACGAACGAACACATGCATAGTTATTGTGTCAGTAGCCCGGCGGTCGGTGAACCGTGTTTAACCTGCCGCCGCCTACAGACGTCAGCAGAGGCATTCGGGTTGGAGTCAGCTGGTATGAGCCCTGGTCAGAATCGGCTGACAGAACTTTGTCAGCCGAGAATAAGCTCCGCCCACACCGCGCTGCTGATGGGCTTGTTCATAATCGGCTGACAGGAAACGTCAGCCAAAGATGGCGCTCGACGGAGAGGGTTGAGACTTGAGGAGAGGTGACATTTTCGCGCTTTTTTCAACGACTTTCTTCCGTTACATTATATTTCTGAGGGTTATTTGCCGAGGCTATAGAAAAAATTACAGGATTGATAATTGAGGCGGTGCTGGCATTTCGATTTGTAGGTAGGTACTGTTTTCAGGCTGGCTCGCACATTGCGCTATGAAAAAAAAAATAACTGCTATCTTTCACGAAAAATATTGAATACAAAATACGTCAAAAACATTGCATAAAGAACTAACCACCTGCACTCTAAAGCTGCGCTTTGACCTACATGCGCCACTTTCGAATTCGAGCTACTTTGAATTTCGGCTGACGTGCTGCTGCCCTCTTCCAGCAGCCGAAAAGCCGGCTGTCAGCAGAGGTATGACGTCATAGCGCGGGAAGGTGTTATACGTCATCAATATCTCAACCAAACAGGGGTTTGGAATACGTCAGTCAGCCACTGGCGCCGTGGAACCACCAATCAGGGCCGCTGGCAACGCGAATCAACCAATCATCGATAATGGGTGACGCGGATCGACCAATCAGAGCCCTCTAGTACCGCGGACCCACAGGTCAGCGACCAATCAGCCTCCAGAGCCTGTATCATCTTAGCTAGGCGAAGGAGGAGCACCCTTCGAGCTCTGCGAGCGACGAAAACTTTTCTCTCAGCCCCGATGATACCCTATAGCAGTGCCCCTAACTAGGCCCCACGTTCCGCAGCAGCCCTCGCCTCACCTGTGACGACACACTCTGTGACGGTGACGCCGCGCGGGTCCACGGTGAACACGGCTGGACGCGACAGCGGCGACATCTTTAGTGACTGGCCGGAAACTACCACCTGAGACGAGTCGGTGATCTTGCAGGTGAACGGAGAGCCTGCGAATGGAGAGGACGGTCAGAGCTCAGATGCCAGGGCAATAGATGCTTAATAATGCATAACAACTTATTTTGCATAACAAACCTCTTAGGCGAGTAACATGATGAAATGTGTGAAAAGGCCGGGCTCTTCTGCCAAAAAATTGTATCCGATGTCACGGTTTTAGAAGCAACATTCTCTATGCCACCCTTCCAATTTCCACTAATCCTATTATCCTATCACATTAACTGGCACTACCTCTCCTTCCCATTTCCACTGTCTCTCCCCCTCACCTGGCACCGGCTCGCCGTTGAAGCGGACGCTGAGGATGTGGTTGGCCGACTCTTGCGGTTTGAAGTTGACCCGGAACCGGGCGTTACCCTCCGACTGTACGTAGTTGGGTACGTTTCGACCGTGCACGGATACGATGATCTCCAGATTCCCGGCTCCGGCCTGGCTGGCGTCAACTGCGAGAGGAGAATGGAGAGGTGGGTTCAGAGATGAGGATAAACGACGGGGTTATGTTTTAAGATGGGTGCCGAATTGCTATGGAACTTAGAACTTGGACGGCAAGGTGGTCGGTTACAAATTGTCGCCACTATTACAAGTCAACAGCCGTGACTCAGTTGTCATGCCCACTGTCCAGGTTGTCCAGTGACAAGCCGGACATGACAGGTGCCCTTTCGGCAGGATCAATAGTTGAATTGAACATTTCATCCACATTTCACTGGCCACGATGCCGAGGAAAGACGGTACAAGGTTTGATAATTAATCTCTTGAATACATGTCCGAGGTGAAAAAAAAAAACAGAGCAAAACTTACAGCCAAGCCAACCCATCGAATAGGTATAAGGGGAAACCATTCACTAATAGCCATTGCTATCATAAACTTACATCGGTACAGCTCATATTTCCCCTGTGCCATCTCTAAGTGTAATTTGTGCACAACCGTCGAGTTACGTCTTGTATGTACACACATAACTGACGTATAAGTGAATCTCCGCCATTAGGTGGGCGCCTTTGCCATCACCCGATGTGATAATACCGCTGAGAAATCCTGCACCATCCTGCACACTGTTCTCACAACGACATTGCCGCCGTGGGAGGTCCAATCACTAACTACGTCTGTAAGGCGCTATTGTCTGAGAGAGTCTCGCCGTCGGCAAAAATACACCCGACACAACATCGCAACATTGTTCTACGTGTGGGAAACATTGCGCTCTGCAGATTCCCCTAATAAGCAGTGTTGCTGACAGTGAGAAATACATTTCACAACGTAATAAATCTGATTGTGAGCATGCATAGTATGTCGTCATGCGCGATCGCGAAGTGAATGCAAGGTGTAGGAGCATGTCAATAGAGCTGGGTTGAATTTATAAGGTAAAGCGCTGGAGCGCTGTTGGGTTAGCCGCTTGCATATCGAATGTCTCTCCGCTGACCTGACAAGTGTAATCACGAATGAGGAGCAATGCAAAAAGCAAATAAATCAATAAATTTCCGACATAGGAATACGTCGGTGACTCAGAACACAGTAGAGAACGCACACAACATGACAACCCGGCACATTCTTCTTATAATATAGGCCTCTAACCAGCAGATTTACTTACTGCAGAAGTAGACCGGCTTCCCGACGACGCCATTTTGTACGTCGGTGACCTTGACCTTGTTGACGTCATAGGCTTTGACGACGAACGGAGCTCCTGGGATAAGCATGCCTCCCAGTCGCACCTCAACGCTGTGGTCACCTGTGGAATATCGGGACGAGTAAAATTTTACGATAGCGAAAGTGATTGCAGGGCCGCGACAGCCCGCTTATGTGAGCGCTCATAAGTTGGAGCATATAAATGTGCTTACGTACTTCCCCGTTCGAGATGAATAAGCCAGCAAAAAAAAAGAAGAAAAAAAAGATTGACAACATAACTAAAACAATAACATTAAGTTTATAATTTATTTTGTATAAGTTAAATGCTCATAGCTATGGTAAAGAGTGCCGCATACACATATGTATATGCAATACTGACACCGTCAACTTACCAACTTCGGTGGGCGTGTATTCGACCATGGCCCTGTTGTCATCGACACTCCAGACCTCGGCCGAAACGGGTCGGCGGAGGGGCGAGAGAATCGTCACTGATAGGTCAGACAGCTCCTGTAAGGAGAGCAAAGACAGTCAGGGGGACAGACGGGTCGACGGAGGGGCGAGAGAATCGTCACTGATAGGTCAGATAGCTCCTGTAAATAGAGATAATACGATCAAGTTGTTTCAGCGGACAGAGAGATGCTGTTGTGAACAACTGGACAGGAAAGGGCGGAGGGATTAGACAGCTGTCCACGAGTCTCTCAGTGCTTGAATCACTAAGATTTCTGAATTGTTCCTTCCAGTCTGAGTTTTGATAATGATGAATTGATTTTATTTCCCGAACTATCACCGGGGCAGACAGGTAAGACGGCATCTGTAAACTCATCGTTCGCTGAGTCTGTCTCAGTCAGTAATTCCCATATTTACTCACATGTGTGCCCTGTGTGTCGATGTTGAAGCAGGTCTGCCGTCCGACGGGCACCTTTCCGACTCCGGCACCGGAGACGGACACCTGGGAGGCGTCCATCACCGCGCAGCTGAATGGAGAGCCTGCGGAAGGGGCAGACGGGGGATAGATTAGACAGAGACGCGTTAAATGGGGTAGGCATATTGCCTAATTTAATTGATTGTGGAGCTAAGTTCGAATCAAATAGAATCTGTGACAGATGCAGATTACACACCAGTCCCCCAATAAATAAAAGTCCAAAGATATCAGTTCAAATTTGTAAGATGAAAATTTGACTACAAATCAAATCTCATAATAGCACTGACTGCGATGATTCATAAATCCTTCCCTTCAATTATCGTCCACAACCCGTTCCCTGCCACCGATGACTCACCAGGCACATTTTCACCGTTGAACTTGAGTTCGACCTGATGGAGTTTGGCCTCCTTGGGTGTGAAGGAGATGGCGTACTTGTGCTGCCCCTGCGACTGCGCAGAGGTCGGCACCTGACCGTTGTTGACCGTCACCTCGAGGTTACCCGGACCGGCGTTCATCGTCTCCACTGGAAAATGAGTGTGTTAAGTTAGCAAGTGATGCGTTCGTGGTGATTATTTCGCTAAATGTAAGCTGCTATGCGCCGCGAGGGTGTCACAGTGTTCAACGGAAACGGATAATCTAGCACTTTTAACAAATATATTGAAAGCTTTCCTCTGGTTTCAATAGATACCTAACTTCTAAATCTGGCGTTATCAACATTTCAGTATAAATTAAAGGTACCGTAACGTTACCAAACAAAACATGTCTTCCGCAAGAACTTCGCGCAATTAAAGTGAGCATGATCTACATCAATTACAAACTGCTTCTCACGTCCACTTAACCGCCAAGTGGAGACCTACTCGAGCCACAAAAGCGTAACAAGTTGACCTTTTCACTTCCAGAAACAAACCCTGTCACCATCGTTTGGACAGCTTTCAGAACACCGGTCTGGAAATCTCGACAATAAAAGCTGGTGAGATGAATTGGAGAGTGGCAGGCGGGGCACGAGGACGGATCACGGTCCGCCGGACGGCCGGAGCGAGACAAAGGAGAGCGGCCGAGAGAGGAGAGTCGTGACTCGAGAGCTCGTTAGTCCCGGCTCGATCGCGAAGGACCACGACAGGCTTTGAAAGGTTTCCAGCACGCGAATTGAAGGAGAGAGAGAAAACGCTCGTCACTTTTACCAAAAAGATAACGCAAAGTTGGTCACAGTCAGTTATCTAAAAAAAACTACACTTTGTTCTCGCTTTCTTGTTTTGCATCACGCCCGTAAAACAACATCCCACACAAACCGGTGCTCGTTAACCAATCATCACGCCCCCTGCAGCCACACCCAAGCCGTCACAAAAAAAAACCGACTCACCGATGAACGTGACGGGCCGGCCGACGACGCCCTTGGTGACCTCCTTGACCTTGATGGCGGTGACGTCATAGACCTTGCAGGCGAACGGGCTGCCCGGGATGGGCGTGCCTCCGAACGCCACATGGATGCGGTGCTCGCCGGCCAGCCGCGGACTGAATTCCACCGTCAGGCTGCCGTCGCCGTTGTCTTTGATTTGCGTCGGCACCGGCGGCCCATTGGGGCCTGAACGTCGAGTCGAGTCGGGTCGGGTCATGGCATGGTCGTTATGGGTTCCCTCTCGTGGTTAGTGCCCCGCGCCGAGCGGTACGATACCGAGCAGCGGCCGGTTAGCGCTGGTGCGCGGTGACCCAGCGCGATTCTGGTCACCGCGCACCTCTCATTTTAACCCAGCACCAATGATAAACCCGAGCATCGCAATCCCCCGCCCGTTCGATTTACATTGCTGGGGGCTAACGAGCCAGGGATTGACACGGAACTGATAAATCAGGGACGCTATACACGATCCGGTTAACTAAATGCTCTATTATCTCAGAATTTAGGACTGCTGTATTATGTATAGTGATGGGAAGCGTACGTTTAGCGTGGTGGGAACAAAGGCGAGCAAACGAAAGGAGCCCGACCCCTGACCCCACGTGCGACCGGGAGGTCAGAGTTCGATGGAAAACGGCGGTGAAATGAAAGCAAGTGAAATTAAGTTTCATTGCTCGGTGAAGCGAAAACGGAAGCCGGAGGTCCATCGAAAAGGTCGAGCGTTTTCACAAACCACTCAGCCCAGCGATCTCCCGCTCCCGTGATCGAGCAAAGCAGAACGGATTGCATACAGGTATTGTGCACATGCCACTCATTTCATGCAGCCAAAACATATTAATGAAGATCATATGACCATAAGCAATGTCAGTTGTAAATACGTCATGCACTAACACTAAATCACATGCATTCATTAAGCGTTAGTAAGCAGGTGTTAGTGAACTTTAGGGGAACTATAACGACCTGAAAGAGAAAGAGAACAAACTATTAGAAAAAAAATCTAAGGACCAAACAAAACAGACGAATTCGGAGAACTGACTAAGCAGCTTTAAGGTGCTAATAGATTCGTGAAGAGTTAACGGTACACTATCTTTTTTCTGTGCAGGTGATGACGCTGCTGAAGCAACACAGTGAACAATTGGTGCAAAACTAGTGAAATAAAAATATATTATTCTGTAATTGAATAATGTACCCCGAGTGCACCCGTTCAGTGTATATCGGTGATAAAGAAAACAAGAACAAAGCATTGAATTGGACGAACGCAGAAAGGGTTACCAAGAAAAGACACAATTCAGATCAGTAGAAGGCTGACGATATAGCATGTTCCATAACCCCGCTTTGAAACACAGATATACGTCACTGCTGACAAAGCCTTACCAAAACACGTAGGTAGCTCACGCCACGATACACGTCCAAATTTACGTCCCAATTGACGTCTTAAATCACGTCCCCCAAACGTTCAGTACGTGACAATACTCACCATCGACGTTGACCTCGACCTCTTCGACGTTTCCAGAGACGTTGCTCAGCGTGAAATAGGACGACTTGCCAACGGCAGTCGAGGCGAGAGACGCGCCTTTGACCACGATGTGGTTCGGATCGGACTGTACGTGTGCTACGAACGGAGAGCCTGCCGAACAGAAAGAGGGGAGAGACGGTCAGCTTACATGCTAACCCAAAGGTGCTAAAAATAGGTGATAGCAAGGCCGTATGGAAGGGTAGAATCCTTTTGTAAAACGAAATTTTTGTATGTAGCCCCCACCGTGTACCAATGTCCTTCAAGAAAGGTCGTGGGCTACAAAAGATAAAACGGCTATCACTAAATATTTCAAAGATAAATTTGAGACCGCAATGCTCTGTTACGGAAATCAAGTAATGCCAGCCATTTCGCCCGTCGTTAGGCGGTCTACCTGATGTGTGCTGTGCCAATGGCTTCCTATCTATTATCTTCCCACGAACCAACAAGTGGTGTACACAGCAGCGTAGTTCCAAGTTCCTTCAACCACCCAGTGTAACTGTTTCTTGGTCACAATCCCGCTAACAACATCACCCTCAACATTCCCAATGTAACCAACATAATACATCATTACCCCATTTTCGTTAACGACCATCGGCCGACCATTGGACCATCTATCGGCCGTTCTAGCGGCTCCAGTCATCACTATCATGCTCGGGCCGCTGTGGCGGTTGGTGGCGTGTCCGAACCAGCCTCATCGGACGGAAACGGTACCACTGACGGTCGCCCTCCCCTCCCCTCCCCGTGCTGACGTTCCGGTCATTTGCCACAGAACAATCGCTGAAGGAGTGCGGGCTCCTACCACAATGGTGGCAGTGGCGTGCCATTCCGGAGCTCTATTGTTCGACAGCTGGCCAAATGAGGAAATAAAAAGGCTAAAAGATGGATTTTGTAAGCGTGAAAATTAATTAGACACTGTCATAGCTAAGCAAAATCACGGACGCCACTAATGAAATAGTGATCTTACTGGGTTTTGAAGATGTGCAGCTGCGTTACATTGGGTTATTCAGCAGTTTCAATCACAGTAAGAAATGATCGCATATTATCTACTTTTGTCATTCGTTATTCACACATATGCCTGTCGACTGCAGCTTATACGACGTTTCTCATATAGCGTGTATCGCTCCATCATTCCTTATAACGCTTATTTCCAAACCACCTCTGAACTACGACCAACTCCACGGACGCACCGATTCTCAATGTGTTACTCACCGGGGATGGGCTCCTTGTTGAAGGAGATGCTGATGTTGTGATCGACGGGCTCGAGCGGCACGAAACTGACGCCGAATCGTGCCGAGCCCTGCGGGTGCACCTGGGTGGGGATGTTGCGCCCTCCTGCGCTGATCGATATCTCCAGGTTACCCTCCCCGGCCTCGCTAGCATCCACTGTGGACAGAAAGAGGAGAACCGAGGTTAGATGGAGCCCGGAGCACATAGCACTTTCACACGAATGGAGAATATCATAAACTTGGGGGTAAGTATTACATATGTCAGAAGTGTAGCATCGTCATGGGCGCAATTATGGATGGAGCGTCTGTAGGAAATTCGATTGCGATTTAGATGTCGTGGCGGATGTCACTTTCAACGATAGACATGTACGTTTTCCTGTTGTAATGTGCGATAGGTTATGTGCCTGGTATATCCAGCCACCTAACACCCCACATAACGACCCTTTTTCCCGAGCACAAAGAACTTCAATACACCATCTTTTCCCGGTATTTACCCATCGCTACTTGCCGCTCTCGTCTATAACCCAGCCTCCCCATCACTAAAAACCCGTACACTTTCCCAGGCGTCTGTAACAGCCGCCGGCGGCGGGCAGCCCGGCCTCGAAGGCAGACAGGCGGTTGGGCAGGCGGCCGGTCGGTTGGCAGCTGTTTTTGTGGTGAACGGAGGCGCGCCGGGCAGCCCGGCTGGACCGGAAGGCGGTGGCACATGCCCGCGGAGCGCCCAGGCAGTAACGGGATCGGGCGGCCGTCGAGGGACGGCGGCGGATGACGGAGACTGGGTGGGGCTTCTCAGAGAGTAGACGCTGACTGGCCTAGAGACGCGGGAAAACTGAGGCTGGAGCCGCAAGGAGGCTGAGAGACTGAAGGAAGACTGAATTGGATGGGTTGACTGGGACTGGATAGCGTATCAACTTTCACAATCTAGCCCAATTAATCGAATGACGCATTTTGTTGACATATGTTTTGACCTCAATCCGCAGCGTCACCGACTACCCGTATTCCATGTAGCCTATACCAACCGACCATCACACCCCTTCCCTATTCTTCCCTTCCCCACACCAGACCAGGTGATTCTTGCGAGGGTCATACGGGCGGCGCCTGACGGGCCTCCAATGGGGCAGTCCCAGCCATCAGACGAGGAATGGAGGGGAAAGGGGCGGAGTTTATGGCGGGGTCGGCGGGGCAGGAGGGCCAGAATGAACCATTGTTTATAGACACTCTCAGCAGAGTGGTCTGTCTGGAGCGAGACAGCCAAGGCCGTCAGAGAGCGACTCTTACGTCGCTGGGTCATTATTTCATGCATGGGATTGGGTGTCGGTTTCTTAAACTGTAGGTTATGATAATAAGAGGGACTGAAACTTTGTTTTTGTCGTTGTGAAACACTAAGTATAAAGACGTTTTCATATTTAGCTGCAAATTTTGAAATGATGGCGAAAATCATGAGCATCCCGGAAGAGAATGATTTTCAGGTTTCTTGTGATTTACTGAACACGTTCAAATTAAAAGAGGCTCTTGCTTTACCTTTGACGTGAAACCTGAATTGTAGTTATCTTATAAAAGTGTCTATTATTTTAATTAAGTGTCCCCTTCAACGTCTTTCATAACTGGAGTACGGGGTTGTGGAGATAAGGATTAACCAGCCACGTTAGTTACGTGAGAGCGTCCAGCACGGGGACGATTAGGCCCAGTTCACTGGCGCTGCTGCGCTCACGTGAATGGAATGTAAAACTGGCCGCCGCTGATCTCAGCACTGCCTAACAGAGCGGTAACATGCACGCGAGCTCTGTTTTGGACGGCTGCGGCGCACCTAGTCTGAACCGGCCGACGCCAGGGCCCCTCCTCTGCTAGCTAAAGTAGATAGGAAACACGCCGACCCGAAATAGTGCGCCACGTGCGCCCTTTGGAAGCCCGGCACTGGTTAAACGGGGTTCTGTATGATGAAAGATTGGCGTAACAATGCTGGACGTTCTTAATTAACGTTATATGGCATTCAGGGCGCGTTACATAACATTTGTAGCAAATTTGACTAGCCCACGTCGTAGTATCTGACTGATGACGCGAGTTTAACCCGCGCCCTGCTGGGGGGGGGGGGTGTTTGAACACCCCCCCTTGTGGTTTTTCGCAAATATCTCAAAAACGGCGGCGCGGAGCGCCGCTGTTTTTGGTACACCTTATCATACATCAATTCTACACATGTTGTGAAAATTTCAGACCAAGGTCATTCAAGGTCAGGTCACCAGGTCACTTGAAGTGACCTCACCTCATAAAAACTTTCAATGTCTGTCATAGCTACACCGAGTGACCGATCGCTTTGAAACTTTCAGCGATTGCTAAGAGCAATAGCATGTACAAAATGTATATCTCAGAATTTTGATATCGATGACCTAAGGTCAGGTCAATTTTGCGACCTCCCCATTATAAGTCAATGGGAGAAAATTAAAATGCGCCTCTTTTGGATGAAAGACATTATAAACACTCCCAAACACCGAATTACAAGTGGTTTAGACACACTGAACTTGAAAATGGTGTCCGTGACCCTTGTTTATGCCCTGAGGTCATCTTAGGTCACGAATGGTATCTAACAGTTTTTCGCAAATTACTTTTGATAGAGGCATGCTAGAGCGATGAAAATGCCTTAGATGTGTTCAGCTCGACGATACGGATCGACTGATATGCAACATGACCCTTCCCGGTCAGGTCATGACCTTGACCTGAGGTCAAATTTTCAAGTTGACCTTTCAAGGTCAAGTTATAGTTCATTCGATGCGTCTTGACGAGAGGAACACGATGCCGGTAAAAGTAAGCTCGTACAAGGCTTGGGTCAAAAGTTATTGCAGAAAAACTGTTTTCGAAAAAATCGGCTATTTTTGCAGTTTTTGCCCCCTGCAGGCAAAACCGTTGACGTTAGGTCAAATCTGAGAGAATTACTCAGAAAGGGCGTTAATAGGGCTATCGAATGCGCTTTTCCGCGGCGCTGTAGCTCTATTGGTTCCCGAGTTATGCGTTGGCTTCTTGGAAATTTTCGACATTCGACCTGGAAGTCGGCGAAATTTTGCCTTCAATGACCTCTGGTGACCTGACCTTTGACCTGACCAAAAAATTGACCGAAGTGATTTCGTCATTATTTTTTACGCTCTTTCGAACGCCGCCTTCCGCGTATCGCTACGTGGCCCAGGAGCCGAGTTACAAGGGGGGGGGGGTGTTCAAACACCCCCCCCCCCCCCAGCAGGGCGTGGAAATCCAGGACCCCCAGCAGGGCGCGGGTTAAACTAATTTGTAGCATTACACTGCTAAAAGTCGCATGGCGAAATACTGTTAGTTGCCGTTTTACCCAAAACAGCTTGTACGGAATATGCGCAAAATATCACACAGCAACGAGTGTGTCGTCATCGAGGGAGCATGCAACGGTTGCAGCTCATCCCCACCGCACCCCCTCCTCACGAGTCACCCACCTGTGAACTGGAGGCTCTTGCCGATGGCGCCCTTGGGCATGCTGGTGACGGTGACGCGTCCCGTGTCGTACACCTTGCAGGTGAACGGTGTACCGCTGACGGGCGCGCCGTTATACTCGACCAGCACCGTGTGGGCGCCCACCTCCAGCGGGGTGAACTCTGCCGTGAAGCCACTGCGCACATTACCCGTCACCTTGACGGGCAGTGTCGAGTGCGCCGGGCCTCGCACCGACACCGCCAGCTCGGCGTTCCCTCCTCCGTCGATATGGATGAGGAAGCTGGCCGGCTGGCGCACCGGCAGCAGCTCCAGGTGCCGCAGGTTCACCGTGACCCGCGAGCTGCCCTGCACGCGACACACGAACGGACAGCCGGGCACCGGCTCGCCGTTGAACTTGATGTCGATGGTGTGTGTCTTGGGCATCTCTGGTGTGAATGTGACCAGGCACCGGCCGCCGCCCAGCACCTGCACGTGGTTGGGCACCTCGCCCTCGTTGATGGAGATCTCCAGCTGGCCCTCGCCGGCCTGGCTGGCATCCACTGCGGAGGGGGATAGACAGAGGTGTCACAGAGCTGTCCCAGTCTCGCCAGCTGCTTCAGGTAGGTATGAACTATTTTTGGCATCAGATACCGCAATGTGTAACGGCTAATTTCCTTATGGGATTAACTCACGCTAATTAGCAAAGCCGGAAAACGTATAAGACATGACTCCCAGTGACATTTATACTTTCTAGTATTAGTAAACAGCATATTCCTCTCATAGGATATGCAAATCAAAAAGCAGTTCTAGGCGATTTAGTGGTCTGATCATCCTCGCTGTCATTCAAAGAGTCTCCCTCGCACTCACTCTGAACTCTGAGCTCACACTCACCTCTGAACTGGCAGGTCTGGCCTACCACTCCGGTAGGAACGTCCGACACCCGAATCAGTCCCGCGTTGTATGCCTTCGATACAAACGGGCTGCCGGGTATCTGGGGCAAACAGAACACAACAGTCGGTCTTAGAACGGCGCAACTCGCAGAAACGTGCCGCCAAACGTACAGTAAACACTGCATAACACATGTGTAACGCACAGCGCACAGTCGGAATGTTTGAACGGCACTGCCGGCCGATAGCCCATTCAAACATCAAGCGGACTAGCTCCAAAGCGCCCTGTTTTCAAACGCACATAACTATGTGTTTCATTGTAACAAGGATATAAAAAAGTCGCGCTGTGTTAATAATAATTGTAGCTTAACGATAACTGTATTTATGATGCCGTTTTTTGCGTGGTTTAGAAGGATTCCAACCACCAAGGTATCGTTTCGACTTAATTTCTGTTAGCTAAAAGTGAAATAAAACTTTCCTGTCTGAAATTCGACAGAATAGATGTACAACTACGAACACGAATCCCAGTGACTGGCTAACCTCGACCCAACACTGGAAACCCAGTTTCTATTGTGACGGTTTGAACTACCGTGGCACCTCCTCCATTCAGCACAAACGGCCCGTGGACGGCACGGGACCCTCTCTCCCTCTCTCCCCTGTCATGTGTGACGTCACACTTTCATGACGTGACTTTATCAGTCATGGGCGAACTTCCTGCTAATAACGCCACTCGCCAAATACAGGATACATGTTACCAATGCCATACACCATACGGTGGTACCCTAAATTATAGAACGCTCCAACCACTAATAACACATCGTTCATCTAATCACATCTGAAGTCACGCATCACGTCTTTGATCAGACCACTCATGACGTCACGATGTCACTAATTACGTTACTGATGTCATTACTCACCGGTTGTCCGTCAACGTTGACATTGATGACATGGCTGCCCACTTCTGAGGCGTTGAACTGACACTTGAAGATTCCGCTGCCCTTCTCTGTCAGTGTGAACGGAACCGTCCGTTTGGACGGACCTGTCGGAGGCGAGAAAATGCTGAGTGAGCATGACGCACACATGTTTCTGAACACACAGGGTGAGAGGCATGTGGAGTATGCTGGAAAAGAAATGAGGAAATGGCATTCTGCGTTCATTTAGAGAGGTTTACGTGACATCGACAGTTCCGCGAACAAACTCCCCAATTCGGTGAACTGAGATTCGAGTGGAGTTTGCCGTTCACCGGATAACACGAGCCGACAATTGGATTTGGGTAGAACACGACATGTTTACTCCTGTTGAGAAGGATTTCCTCCCCAGATTTCCTCTCGCATTGCAAGCGAGTTGAGTCACACACAGCGAAATGATGCTCTAGGGACTAAACAGCCTAAGGGTTACGGGATACAATGATTGACAGGGGACTGGGGAGTGGGGATATGTTTCCTGCACTTTTACTAAAAAGCAGAAACACGACACTCGCCTATGTACCTATCTCTTGGTGCAGTTTGTGTCCTTGTGATCTCAGATCGAAAGCGATCCTTCCATTAGCGGTGCACCTTTGTTGTAAGCGATATTAGCAGGCATGCTGCACAGTGCACATGTCTATCCAATTTTAGCATGTGGGCTGCACTGCACACTGCACATATCCGTCCAATTTGGGCGCGGGCCCCGCCCGCTCACGCTGCGACATGGCGTCGCAGCCGATCGGACTGCTGACCAGACCATATCAGCCGGGCACTGTCACGGCTTATACAGTGCACCTCACGAACGGAGTACACTCGGCCAGCGGGGCGCCAGTTTTCCTCAAAGAAAGCATTCCAAGTATGCTAGCGGAGTCCGTTTAGAATTACTAAAGCCGGATTGGCCAGCCGTGTCAAAAGCCGACACAGGTGACAAAAGTGCGTTACAGAGTTGTAGCGACATTCCAACGCTTCTACAAGAGGCACGTGCAGACCTTGTTCATTTGCTGCGATTTTTCTATCAAGCACTTTGGCTCCTGACAAAGAATGTCGCAGGAATGTCCTCGGTTTCTGCATGACTTGCACCGCTCTCGTTCTCTTATTCACTTCTTTGTTATATCCACGAAATTGCTAGCAATCTTGATACCAATTACCAAGGAAAGACGCTCATGGTTCAGGATATTGGACTAAGTCTAATAACAGTATACACGCAGCAGCAGCAGCGACAGCGGCAGCGGCGGCGGTAGCGGTGGCCGGTGGCGGCGGCGGCGGTTCACCGGAAGAAAAACGCCGCCCGGCCGTTCCGCACGGTGCCGCGGCGGAGGCGGCGTCGCGGCGCCGACCTTGCCCCGGCGCCGACTCCGTGACACCACGGCGCCGGATGTACGGCCACAAACGGTCGCACGTGTCGTGACCGACGCACGTAACGCCCGCCACGGGCCGCGCCGTCTCGTCGGTGAAAGTGGCGAGAGGCCGTCAGCTCAGCCGACTGTCTGCGCTATACTGGCGCGTCCGCCGGCGGCTACCATCTGCCGTATATGCAGGCCGGTCTCTAGCCAGATGTGCAGGTGTTTGGTTGTTTCATTTCACTTCATGGAATATCATCAATTAAACGAACGAAATTTAAACGATATCTTACACGCGAAACTTGCAGCATGCGTAAGCTCAAGTCAGGACATGTGACGAACTTGTGGGAGAAATAATTCATTGTCAAAGTCCTTTTCCATTTACCTCCTAAAACACAATATTTATTGATTTTTCATCTAGTTATGTGTTTCAATGAAATGGTCTCCACTATTTCGTCTTTGGACTTCTGGTCTGCATGCTCGCCAATGTGATCTAATTCACCAAATCATGGCAATCTTCAATGATAATTATGTTATCTCGCTGAACCAATAGCCCGCATATTGATCTTTATCAACAATTATTGTTATACCGTTAGCTGAACGTTCGAACATTCCTTCTACAATCGCCATCCAGTAGCGTGATATTACGTTTCTACAGCACAGAAACGGTATGATTGAAGCGGATTTTCCCTTTGATATGCGTCGGACATGGCTGCCTGCATTCCCAAAGGAATTATACAGACTAAAACCATTTGTACAAGCCACTGTCACATTTCATAGATCGCCGATCGCATAAGAGGTCTAGCATATAGGAGATAAGATTTTTGTTCGTTAGAGTAGTAAAGCTGGTGCCGCTGTACATAAAAGTCAACATGTTTCTAATCGCAGTCACTTGCAATAAATGAAACGGTACAACAAATGTTTGAGCTCTTTACATGTGCAAGTTGCAACTTTAAACCAAAGTTTGCAAATACCATGCTTGATGATGATGAATGACCGCACTAGAGTTGCTTTTGAAACTGTAGTTCGTAACACCATTGGCCTTAACCACCACATTAGCTACGACAATGCGGCAAAAGTTCACGTGGCTGGCCAGGTTTCGACCACAATAACCGAAGGTTTGTTGTCAATAGTTAAAACACTATTCTTTAGAATTGTATTTTTCTATTGAAAAAAAAAATCTGAGTTCCCTGACAATTTGGCAAAAGCTGCCTGAGATCAGTAAACTAGACATCAATCAACAAAAACGACAGCGAACGCGGCGGCACTGACCAGCCTCTCAACAGAGGTCTGTTACTCCGACCCATAACCTCGACAGAGTTCTATTACTCCGACACACAACCTCGACAGAGGTCTGTTACTCACCGACAACATCGACAGAGAGGTCGGCCTTGCTCCTGCCCGGCGCCGCGATGTCAATCGAGGCCGGCTTGTTGGCGGGGAAGTGTTTGAGGTGCTCCCCCATCACCTGTAGACCTCCGGACGCGTCCATCGCGCCCACGTCCACCTCCCACGGCGAGCCTGCAGGGGTGGAGAACACGCGGTCAGAGGGGTCGAACTTTGAAGGTGAGCAGAGGGTATAGAAAAGCACGTTCAAAGGGGATTATTGTTGCTCCTTTTGATTATTCGATTATTCGATTCGATACCTTCGGACTATCATTCCGAGCAAGCGATGAGTGCTGAGGGAAAGATGCAATATTTGCGGCTGCACGGTGACACAATAACATGTAATGCAGCTTGCAAGAATTGAGAATTCCCACGGTATTGGTGGAGTCATGCTTGGTTTAGTGACCAAAATTATAGACAGAACCAATTATCAACAGCCGAAACTTTGTGGAAACGGCAGGTTCGTGAGAAAAGTGGTAGGTGGCGAGCGAATTGCGCACTGGTTTGTTGCAAAGCCTGCACATAAGTGATGAAATTTTCCCTAAAATTACGAGCTGACCACCAATGTCACCACACATGAATAAGTGGGTGCCCACAATTTTAGACGGGAATGCCTTGCACCATGCTCATTACCCCAGATGCTCAATCACTCCGAAAATCATACAGGCATTACCTATACGTTGGGAGTGAAATATTTTATACATAGGTATATGTACTCGTACATATTGTTACTAGCGTAGGTATATTCTAAACATCACAATAAACAAATCAGTTTTGTGGTTTCTATGTAAGTATCACAGATCTTTGCTTGTTTGTTTTTTTTTTGGGGGGGGGGGGGGTAAAAAGCGTACAAATGCTGCATTCTAAAAAGTCTGAAGCAGGCCCATGGAAATGCCAACTGTGTTATCGATCATTGAAGAAGAAGAAAAAATCGGAAAAAGCTGCAAGTTAGAACTGTAGGTTTAGGCAATATTAAACTGCGTGAAGATAAGGAAAATACAGCTGAATGCGTAATTATAATACTAGCCATTACACAAAAAATAACGAGGAAAACTTCTTTGGTTCTCAGTTCACACCCACACATGATAACGGCTTCTATCTGAACACCTTCTAAATGCATCGAGTTAAAAAAGAAGTTACAAGGAAATACAGCATCGGAGCATAAATGCAAGATGTTTACAACACATGTAGGACTGCAGCTAAAGTCCATCCAACCATCAATTCAGTCGTCGCATATATGTGAGAGATTAGAAAATCTCATCAATTCACTCACATGGCCTTGCGGTTTCATATAAGCATGATTCAGATGTGTGAAAAGAATAGAGCTGCTATTTAATAAACGGACGCGGATCAAACAGCCACTGTGTCGCCTATCAGATAGCGGTCAAAGCACACAGCAGGTGGTTATACAGACCCGCTGACGAACAAATGAGAGAGAGCTGCTGAGTTGACCTCATTCACCCATTTACAATCTCTCTCTGCGGGGCGAGGAAGGGCTGTTTGAGCCACATACCGCCGCGGGTATTTTGTGAAAACCCAATTGGGTAGCAGCTCTCTGTCAGGATCTGCACTGAAGCGGAACTGAACGGTAAAAATATGACACAGAAATACACCAATCAACGTCACTCGAAGATACGTTTGACTGATGGAATCGATGGTAAGCGATACCCAGCGGCTATCAAAGCGATTAGGGGCTATTTAAGGAAACGTTTCACCGATACATCTGTACCATCTTATGCCTAGTAGACCGAGTTTGTGATCCGTACTGTATCACAAAGGCACGTAATTGAAGCCCTTAACACCCGATACCATAATTGTAAAAGTCTTAACCCGCGCCGTGCTGGGGGGGGGCGTTTTTACGCCCCCCCCTCAGGTTTTTCGCAAATATCTCAAAAACGGCGGCGCGCAGCGCCGCCGTTTTTGGTACACGTGTTCCTACATCATTTCCGCACATGTTGTGAAAATTTCAGACCTAGGCCGTTCAAGGTCAGGTCACCAGGTCACGTCAAGTGACCTTACCTCAGAAAAAGTTCAAAGGCTCGCTATAGCTACACCGACTGAACGATCACTTTGAAACTTTCAGCGATTGATATGAGTAACAGTATGTATAAAATGTATATCTCGGATTTTTGATATCTGTGACCTAAGGTCAGGTCAATTTTGCGACCTCTCCATTATAAGTCAATGGGAGAAAATTGAAATGCGCCTCTTTTGGACGAATATCGTTCAAAACGCTCTCAAACATCGGTTCATAGGTAAACATGACACACTGAATAGGAAAAATGCACCTGTGACCCCTCTGTGTGCCCCTGAGGTCATCTCAGGTCATGAACGGTCGCCAGCAGTTTTTTGGCTATAACTTTTGATAGAGACGTGCTAGAGCGGTGAAAACACGTCAGATGTGTTCAGCTCGACGATACGGATCGACTGATATGCAACATGACCCTTTTCGGTCAGGTCATGACCTTGACCTGAGGTCAAATTTTCAAAATGACCTTTCAAGGTCAACGAATAGTTCATTCGACGCGTCTCGACGAGAGAAACACGATGCTGGCAAAAGTAATGTCATGGCGCTTATGAGTCAAAAGTTATTGACGAAAAAACGTTTTTCGTAAAAACGGCTATTTTTGGAGTTTTTGCCCTCTGGAGGCTAAACCGTTGACCTGAGGTCAAATCTGAGGACATTACTCAGAAAGGTCTGTAAAAGGGCTATCGAATGCGCTTTTCCGCGGCGCTGTAGCTCTATCGGTTCCCGAGATAGCCGTTGGCAGTTTCCAAAATGTTGAAATAGTCAACATTTTACCTTTGGTGACCTCTGGTGACCTGACCTTTGACCTGACCCAAAAAATGACCGAAGTGTTTTCGTCCTTATTTTTGACGCTCTTTCGATTGCCGCTTACCGCGTGTCGCTACGTGGCCCAGGAGCCGAGTTAGACGGGGGGGCGTGAAAACGCCCCCCCCCCCCCCAGCACTCGGCGGAAAGTTCAGGCCACCAGCACGGCGCGGGTTAACAATAGGTCACCAGGACTCTACAAACCAGTTAGAAAATCCTGCAGTTACTGAACCCAGCGGTAAGATCTTTCTCAAGCTATAATCTTCGGCATCAGTAAATAAATGATGAGGGTAATTATTGTTTTCGAGATCATGCAAAAAAGAGCTCAGTGGTGTTCGCAGGTCAAAAATTATCCATCGAATCCCACATTTTCCCCATGTTCTGACGGCATTCTCAGCTTGCCCTGGGCCCCATTTCAGCCCGGTTGAGGCGCCCTGTGCCGGCGGCGGGACGGACGGGCTGACAGAAAGAAGGGACGCCGACCCCGGCCGCAGCACGCTCCGTGGGAACATCTGCCCCAGGCGTGGGAGCCGACCACTGCGCCTGTGGGACTGGCCTGCAGACCGGCCGGCCGGCCGTTGGGCCAGCAGCCGCAACAACAGCCACAGACAGTCGCAAGAGGCACAGTCAGAGCGCAGTAGCAGCAGTATTAGTGGCTGATGATCGGGTTTAGGATGTGTGAGGACTGAGGATGCCTGGGATGTGGGCAAATTGAATATTTAATGACTTGATGTAATGTGATTGATTGATTGATTGATTGATTCGAGCGTCCTTTCGCATGTTACAAACTATAAATACCGTAAAGTGGGGCTATTTGAGACAGTGGGGCTATTTGAAACAGTAAGGTAGTGGGTTAGTAAAATCCCTGTAAAATGAGAACCGTTTGATATTTTTTCGCCATTTTTGCTTAGGCTGATGTGGAATTGAACAGTGAATGACCTGAATAACCTTTTTGAAAATCTCGAAAAGTTTTGAAAGAAATTTGGCATAAAATGCGAAATACAGAAAAACGTACAATTTAAGTTGCTCGAAAAGGACCCCTACCTGCAGCTTAACATAGTTGAAATTTTAACAGCTTCGGCACTGCATCTATCGTTACTAACATTTTACTTTTAGGCTAAGCACATTTTTCATGAAAACATTATACATTGTTAACGTTACTGCCGATTGCGTAACCCATTGTCTCAGAATCCCGATGATGCCCACCTGGTCAAACCTCAATCGATATGCTGCCAAATAGCTACTGAATATAATGGTGATGCGATTGCACCCGAGAAGACTTACCACCATCTACTTGAAGTGCATCGAACTTTCGACATGAGCAACACCGGTGAATCGGTCGTGGTCACAAACGTGCAGTGGGCTCATGTTGGGTACTTTTAGTAGCAAGCAATATTTACATGTTCGCAGTATAACATAATGACCCTTTAGCTGGTGACCAAACTAGTTATTCTGATGAAAATGTCCTTAAAATGTGCTTCATCAGTCACTGACTTAGTCGACTATCAACACATGTCTGCCTTGGTTGACCAAAAACACCACTGAAGATTACTTAACACATGAACGTGCTGTTAGGTGAGCCTATGCAAGTACTAGTGATGTGGTAGGGTAACCGGTTCATTGCTATAGCATGCAGCGATCGAGGAAAATCGGCATAAAATCAAAACCGCCTAACATTTTTCTGTTATTTCTTCGCATGAAGATGTGCAATTGAACAAGGAATCATGCAGACCATTCACTTAAATGTTTTGGGAAATCTTATAGCTCGTTTGATTCATTACATTATGCTTCATAAGGTAGCGAGTCTGTCTCAAATAGCCCCACCGACTTTCAGCATATCTGTTTTCACGCCACCAGGGTTATATACAAAAACTTTCTTTCAAAATTGTACTGTCGTTGACTTTGAAATGGTCCTTAATGATCATCCTGTCATTTTGAAAGTTTAGGGTCACATCATATTATGATAGCCTTAGCATATAGTGATGCAATTTCATAACCTACCGAAATGAAGCATCCTACGAAAAAGGAAAATATTGAATACAAAGGAAATATAATTGTCTTTGCAAAAATAATTTTTGCCAGAATGATCAAAATTTAATTTCCAATCGCATGGCGTTTAAAAAATTATTCCTAGCGTGACCGATTTTGTTCAATTTCTTCGTAACTAAAACTGTCTCAAATAGCCCCACCCTATGGGGCTATTTGAGACAGGCTTTAACTTACAAAATATCCTTAATCATTATTACTAGCTGAACCAAAATGCACCTATATGAAAGAGCTCACAGGGAACTACATTTTTGCA